AGACTGGCTATTTTTCAGTTGTGCTGTAGAGTGACTATATTAGATTTAACCAAGTTGTGGTCACCATAAATCTTTTTGCACGTCAATCCACTGAGTCCCAGCAAGTGAGGTGACATTGGGCAGCGCCTGCCTAGATGTGATAGCAATATTCCTCACAAGAGCAGACCGGTGCTTTATACAAACAAAGAAGCTGTCTCGACGTGAAGTCCTGCCACACCTTTGTAAGGGCTCCTAATCTCAATGCTTTAGATTTGGACTCAATGAACTGAGATAGTTTAAGTTCAAGTTGATACCTAGTAACGGAAAACGGTCAGACTAATCCAAGGATACATTCCAAAAGTTGTAGTCAAGAAAAATGGACCCGTTTAATTTGTGAAATGACATGCAAGCGTTTCGGTCCTATCAAATTTCACAAGATTGTCATCGTCCTATTCTGATATCGCCTGATATCTGTAATCAACACTATCTACCGTGGCGTCCCTTTTTAACTCGAATTGATCCCGAATGATTAATTATATATTATTCAATTCCTCAATGCTGTCACCAAATAGGGAAAATTTGAGTATCAAGCTTTTGAAAAAAAATCTCGGTAGTGTCTCTGGTTTCATAGTTTTGATTGGTGACTTTCTGAATGACCTTAGGCTAGCGTTCATAGTTGTTTATGTATTTATATTCCTGAGCTTTTTGGTAAAACTAGATGAAGGCACGGTTATGAATTGATATCAATCTAGATCTTAGGCTACCTGCAACCATATAGAAAGAGAAAAATAATGCTCCTTCACAGAACGTGTTAATTTCAAGTTGCAGAAAGGCTGCTTATGGAGCGATAACAATCTGTTAAAATTAACAACCATAAATAAACTTTTTTCATTAGCAAATTAAAGAAAAAAGTATCAAAGTCTTCTGTTGAATAGAGCGTGGTCTAGGTTCTATAGGAGTAGAGATAAAATGTTACAAGATTACGGCTCGCCTGCCTGATACGGCTTTCCGAAGAAATTTGAGACAAGCATTTCTTCCAACAAAATATCGCAATGATCCATTTTACATATATAAATATTTAAACGATATTTTACCAGTAAATGAAATGCAATTATTTGAATATTCCGGTAAAATTTTCAAGGCTATGCATTTGATACGACTCAAAAATAAAAAAAAACTTTCTCCGTTACCCTATTTTCAATTTTCAACAATTCAAAGGTCGATTTCCACCACTTGATAGCAGATCACATTTTTTTAATATATTTTTTTTAGGTTGATGATATAATGTAAAAAAAGAAGTGTTTTATAATAAACGTAATTTCCTTTTTAGATTCATCTAGTTTTTAACGAGTTTCTTCATAATGAATATCGAAGGTCCTTCGTTGAAATGCACTTCAGATTCTGCGATTGGTTAAAGGATATAAATTTTATTGCAACACTTGTTAAAAAAATGGGATGGAAATGCCCATTTCCTGCGGTGAGTACTCATTAGAAGATATAATTTCCTAGTTTGTATATTTCTAACTTTGATATTTGATCATTTTAGGGAACAATGCGAACAAAAAACATTAATTTTTCTCTGGACGATTTTCCAAACGTATTTCCGATACAAAAGAGTCGAGTAGACGTTGAATGCTCAGTCACAGATACTAATGAAACTATGCTTCAATCATATTATTACATTACTTTTAAAAATCATAAATCATAAATAGACGTTCATTTTTAAACTAGGTTAAGGTTGAGGTTTTCAGAAAGGATTGTAACAATGCATATGTTAAAATTAATAACAATGTTGTTTCACGAAAATATAGACATCTGATTGTTTCAGACCCTCTGTAAATATGTTTTATTTAAGTCTCGGTCCCGAAATTTGTCATCGGTTCTTTCCCGAATTACTTACTATACTTGCTGGACCTACCTCAGTTTTCATTTCAATGCACTATTAATTAATTAAAATTAATATTGTTAATCATTTTAATGTTTAATTTATATTATTAATCATTGTACTGTGTATTTTATATAAATACTTATACTGTAAGTTAAAACAACAATAATTGTGATAATTTATTTTCTTAGGACATTTATATTATACCAACTATAGCTGTATTGTAAGTACTTAAAGACTAGTTCGCCAACACGGCGCGTACTTATTTGTTGTAAGTCCGTTTGTTAATTTACAAGATCTCTTCCATTTTTCTCTCTGACCATTCTAAACTATGTCGTGGCTGATATATTCGACCCATATTTTTTGTGTACTATTTTTCGCTTCACCTTCCCTTAGACACCATTATGTTACTATCACGTCGTGTCCCCTAATCATGTGTCCCGTCCTGTTTGATTTTTGACTTTATATACAGGGTGACTGGTGAATTACTATCGATACTTGAGGACGTGATATTTGACGATCATATATGACAAAATAAAAATTAATATAACATAAATATTAATAAACTTCTAAGTAAAGTTAACCAAAAGTTGTGTAATTAATTACGCATCGTGATAACACCCTACAGATTAGGTATACACACACACACACACATACGCGTGCGACGGCGTGTTGTTGTATCAGCACGCCGCCGCACGCGTCCACACTTGGAACACTTGGAACGTGTCCTCACTTTATTTATTTATACGGAAATTTGGTCAAAAATTAAGTACCTATTTTTTTAACATAATTCGAATGAGAATCATGTACCGAGTATGCTCCTTAAATATTGATAGTAATTCACCAGTCACCCTGTATATTATATAGGGTTGCGTTAGAGATTTCGGACTATTTCATATTGGTGATATTCCTTATTTAAACTTCCGTCTTTAACCCTAAAATGATGGCCCTCCACATTTCGTTGGCATGCAACTATTTTATTAATTAAGTTTTTTTTTCTTTGTTTTGGCTCATGTTTGTCTTCTTTTATATACAATTTTTTGCCTTCCATTGCCGTAAGCTTAAATATTTAATTTTTATAGGTGGTAGAGCCTAACTGTGGTTATGTATATACAGATCGAAGATGTGCTGGCTCGACCGGGGAAGTACCACCCTCGCACAAAAGATCGGCGTGAACTAGCCTTTAGTGGTAGCATTTCGTCCGATGAGTGAGAGAGCCGGTTCCCCTTTCCCTGTTTGCACCATTTCCTATCATTTCCTTATTCCCATTATTCCCTATTCCTAAACAACAGAGGTTGGCAACGCATTCACAACCGAGATGTTGCCGATGTCCATAGACGACGGTAGCTGCTTCCCACCAAGTAAACCCTCTGCTCCTGAGCCACCTTTCACATAAAAAAAATTATTAAATCGATACCGTCATCTCAAAGTATACGATGAAAATTTTCTAAAAGTTAAACGTTTGCCAATAATTTCGTATAATTTTCAGGATGGAGCTTCTCCTTTTCTTACTCCTTTTGGTATTATAGATATATGTAAATTTTTCACTCTACATTATTTAGGATTATTTTCTTACTAATTTACCCTTTGGTGTATTCCTGTACTGCGATGCTTTTTATCATAAATCTAACACGCCTAAACTCGGGTCATATTGCCTGAAAACTAAATGAGAAATAAACTGGATTCTCTTCATATAAATATTAAATTATTCATGAATTAAATAACTATTTTAACTACTTTGCATTGTATTTTAATAATGTTAGTGTTTGATCATATGATCAAACTATAACATGGTATTATTACAAATACCATTGAATACTTTTTAAATAAACTATATTATAGGGATAGTTATAGAGAAATTCGACTCACTTTATACTTATTTTTAGAATAAAAAAAAATCTTAGCATATAGGAATCTTCAAAATACATAATTTTTTCATTACGAATTATTATAATCTATAAATCATTTATTTTTGTACAATACTCATACTAAATCCAATAGTAGAGAGATTTAATATAATACAAAATTATGTCATATCACATAAATGTTTGGAAGTATGGTGAATAGTAAAACGATTCATTAAAACGTAATCAAAAAATCTAATCCATTATTGTGGCTATGTAATAAAAGCAAATTTATTTTTAAATATATTCAAATTCATTGTCGTAAGTACATATCATTTCAAATAGCAATTCATGAGTGTTTGAAACAGTGTGGCAATCATAATTATGTCTCAAATATGGATGCAAGTTGCTCTGCTAATGACATTTCTTATAATTGCAGTGTATTGCGTAAGTTTAGTCACAAAACATAATATTAACAATTCTTTTTAAAGATCTGGATACACTAAGTAAATTTTACGCCTCCTTTTCAGGGAATTGAAATAATACCAGAGCGAGCAAAATTGGTTTCTTTTAATGAAAAATACTTCTCTAATTTTAGCATTAATGTAAGAAGATATAGCAGAACCGGTCCTTTCTACTACAACGTTGAACTTACGACCAAACAGGCATGGTCTAACAACGTTTCGGTTTGTTAAGTTTAAAATAATTTATAACATATCAAACAACTCTCGACTACAATCAACTGATATTTTGCAAACCGATTCTTTGAGTACGTTATCTAATAAAGTCATATGGGTTTGAAATTTGCTTAGTGATTTGAGTCGAGTACGTTACATTAAGATTTATTTCGTATCGGATACTTTGTCATGGATGGAAGTGGCATCCGAAGACGGGTGAAACGATGGCCTTCTGCAGACAGTAGAGGACTCAATTAGTTGGCTGCTCTCGCCATAAATCCAATTTTAACTTACGTTCTTCTGTTACCTACTTCTATTTTGGTTACGCATATGATAGCATAGTTGTCTCATTGTATCAATCCAGCTCGGACGGTGACAGAGATTTAATAATGTTGGATAGAGAGGCGATAACAGAGCGTGTTATTTTCACATTTAACAGAGTCTAAGCAAGGGAGCCAATCTTGTGAAATTTAGCACCACCAATATACAAGAGTTTCTTAAGACAGCCAAGAAAAGTAGGTTCACCTAATTTTTAGGATGTATGCTTGGAACAAACCAAACACATTTAGTTATTAGGTATTATGAACGTCCTATTATGAATACAATATTTTTCAGATGCACGTAAGTTTTAATGAATATCTTCACAATGAATATCGTCGGTCGTTTATTGAAATTCACAACAGGTTCTGTGACATGGTGAAATATGACAAATTTATTGGACCTGTGATGCAAAAAGCGGGACTGTTCTGCCCACTACCGATTGTAAGTTAATGGTTACAAAAACATACATTTTAAATATTGGTCATGGAAAATTAAGCAAAAAAATAAAATTTTATGTTCTTATTTTAAGTCTAAAGAAAAATTATGATACCCAATTTTTTTTAATTTAGCAATTATATTTAATCACTGAATATATTTCCATTTTTTAGCAAACATTGCGAGTGCTGAATTTCACCTTTCCCATGGACAACTTTCCGAACTTATTTCCATTTGAGAAATGCCGCGTTGACACCGAACTAACAATCACAGCAACAAATGAATCCATGGTTCTAATGTATCACTATGTTAAAATACGAAACCTGAGCTAAAATAGAAAAGTAAAAACAAAAGAAAATATTAAACACTTTATAATTGTACTACAATATTATTTAATTAAACTTCCTATCGTATAGAAGATTATTTTTATTTTAGTCTAGTTACATGTAGATAACATACACAGTAGAGATGGACTAAGGAGACTTCAGAGGATTTGCAGATATTGATTTTTCCAACCTAAAACATATTATTTCAATATTCATTTCGAATTAGTACGTAGATAGTAAACGATAATTTAAATGACAGAATATCTGTACTTGTAATTTTTATAAACATTCCTAAAGCTTTCTACTATGTTCATCATGAAATATAACTAATAAAGTAGAGAAGTAAGGCATCTGACAAGGCTCATAAATTGTTTTAAACACAACAAGAAAGAAAAATTCGCATTTAAATCTTTACATTACTAAATAACTGAAAGTTCTTATTAACATCAAAATACAATTTAATAATTTACATAATCTTTATTACAATTCCCCACTAATGTGATTAATAAAATATCAAAACTATTTGAAATATAAGATGTGTTGTTACTTTTTGAATATTTTGTACAAGGAAAGCGTAACTAGGCACATTAGATCTAAATAAAGATGAATATTATTCCGTGATCAATTAATATGTCAAATTATATGTTATACTTTGCCTAATAATTAGTAGTTTGTTATTAAAATAATGCCTCATTTGTTTTGATTTTTCACATTGGTTTTGAAATAGCTTAATGTTCGTTATCTTACTATCAAAGACTACAGATCGCCCTTCTTCTACTTCAATAATATAATACATATATAGATATATACATATAATATAGATTTAAATACAACGATGAATAGTTTTTCAAATATAATACTTTTTGGCATGCCAAACGAGTTTTCCAATAATAATAGATCCCTCCACAGTTGAATACTTCCTGCCAAAATTACACGTTTTATAATAATACATACACATAATAAAACGTTTCATTAAAAACCCATCATATGTAACCAGGACTCATTGTTATGAAATCATTTAAATCAGATATTATCTTAAATACGTAAATTAAATTTCATTTTAAGATAAATTAATTTAAGTATAATACATTATGTTTATTTGAATCTATACTTCAATAGTAACAGGTAAATGATTGTAGAAAATGTTCAAATCTTGGATACAATTGACTTTGGGCCTGTCATTTTTTATTTATGTAATATATTGCGTAAGTAAATTAAAAACCATATTTTTTTCTTTCCAATTAAAAACCATATTTTTTTCTATAGTATACTGCTACAATTCACTGCATTTAATGTACATAATGCCGATTTGATTATGACCTTTAAGTCAGTGGTGGCCTAGTGGTTAAAAGGCCCGCCTCTCATACATGAGGGCGCGAGTTCGATCCTGGCGATTACCAATGTGATTTTTCCGTGTCATATGTACTTTCTGAGAGTATTTAGACACCACTGATTAATGCTTTCCCAAAGAGGGTTGATGTCAGGCAGGCGTCCGGTCGAAAAAACAATTAGACAAAACTATTCGCAACATGTAAAGCAGATTCTCTGGCTAAAGCTGGGAAATTGGAACATAGAAGAAGATCACATAGCAGAGAGATTAAATGAGTGTCTATTCTCTTTATAGGGATTGGAGGTAATACCAGAGCGAGCCAAGGTGGTGTATGTAAATGAAAAGTACTTCGAGAATGTTACCGCCAACGTGAAAAGATACAGCAGAACAAGTGCTTATAGTTTCAATATTGAGATGACATTGAAGAAGTCATGGAGCAATAATGTGACGGTTAGTTTATTATTGTGAAGTGAGTACAGACTACAGGCTACCCTTGTTCATAATCAAATTGTTCCTTCCGACTCATTCTCTAGGAGGCAGTTACATAATTTTAGAGACGAAACCTCATAGCATTCAATGGTTTCACCGTGCGGGTGCTGGCTCCATCGCGTCACAAAGAGAGGAGTTTCAACAGTACCTTGGACTCCTTTCCCTACCTAATCATATTTGAAAAGAAACTACTGCGGCTGCCTTCGAAATACGTTCTAAGAATGAATTGACATTAGTTCTGGACAGGCGCGCAAGTCTTTTAGTAGGTTGTAGGGAGATTTAGCCGTTATACCTCTCGCTCCCACTTCTACCGCGTACAAATCCACGACGAACCTATTTCTAGTGAGTTTGTTAGCGAGCTCGTAATATTTATTGACCTTGATGATATGGTCTTTGAGGATGTTGGTTATTTCTAGTAAATTTCTAGTTATTTCTAGTAGAGTATGATATTTTTGTAACTTTTTTATCTCATTTTCAACATCCTTGTCTAATAAATCAGAAGTATGTTTTCTTGAACTATCAAGTAATTTTTTTCATCCTGTGATGACAAAAAAGGAGAACCAAAATTACCTTGAGTCTATGAATTGTAGACAATCGATTTCCGTTTCATTTTCAAATTTTAATACAATTGCGTCATCTTTAAAAAATTGTCAACTATTTAGTTCTTGGATAAAGTTAACCATTTGAATGTATGTATTACAGATTCACGTTATTTTTAATGAGTATCTCCACAACGAGTACCGCCGTTCCTTCATAGAGATTCATCACAAATTCTGCGATTTGGTCGAATATGACAAACTCATCGGACCTATGGTACATCGCATCGGATTATTCTGTCCATTGCCGGTTGTGAGTCTATAAACAAAAATATTAAGTAACAAATATTTCTCTATGAAAAATACACTTTTCTTATTGTTCTTCTTCTACCTGGCAATTTCCCAGCTTTACATGTTATGAATAGTTTTGGCTAATTGTTTTTACGATCGGCCGCCTGCCTGACATCAACCCTCTTTGGGAATGCATTAATCAGTGATGTCAAAATGCTCTTAGAAAGTATATACGACTCGGAAAAATTACATTGGTACTTGCTCGGACCAAGATCGAACCCGCGCCCTCGTGCATGAGAGGCGGGCCTTTTAACCACTAGGCCACCACTGACTTTCTTATTAATGGAACTTATTTATTTTAGGGCACACTGCGAGTGACAAACTATACCTTCCCCATGGACAATTTTCCTAACGTGTTTCCATTTGAAAAATGTCGTATTGACTCTGAATTAAAAGTCACAGCTACAAATGAATCCATGCTCTTAATGTATCACTACCTTACATTTAAAAATTTGAAGAAAAAAACATAAATTAAAATAAACTATGCATGCATACAAGTATGTTTTTGATGTTTGTTTTTTTATTCCTTATTTTTATATTTATCCTTTTAAGTAACAAAAATATTTCGTGTCATTTAAAAAAAAAGTCCAACAATGCTATGTAATTTGATAAAACCACCCCAAAAGTATTCGTGATTTTTTGCCAGATGTTAATAATGTTATGGATTTAATGTTTTTACACTGTGAAAGGTTTAATATTCTCCCGTCCAGGAATAGATGGTGGGGTTTAAGATTCCCAAAGCCAACTAGCTGAAATACAGCGGGTATTTCATCTGACCAGGGTGATCGTCATTATTACAATGAATCACCACGAGATTGCTCTCGCATGAATCTGTGAATCTGCATGAATCTGTGCTCTCCGACGGACTAACCAATACTCCTGGGGTAATGCCTCGAGTGACGTGAAGATCACAAGATACCTACTACCTACACCTACTATAGGAAGTAGCCTACCTTCCATCACAGGTTTAATTCAGAACTCGGTGGCAGTATATTACGACTCGTACCTACCGCTTCCTTCTTCTCAACTTTCACTACCAAAGCGGATCAGGCTTTTACGTTCGTATTCCAATCAATGGCTTCGTTCTCGTTGAAGAGTTTCGCTGAAAGAAGCCAATATGTCCCAGCGCTTATCACTAAAGAAATTACCCTTGACAGTAACAGACTACTGCAGCCTCGTGTAAATATCAATGAAAATACAAGTCCTTGATTCCGAGGGAGATCTGGTTATATTTTGTAATACAAATTTTATAGCCCAATATAGCAAATATATTGTGTTAAGTGACGCGTATTAAGAACACATGAACAAAGTGTCTTCTCCTTAACAAAGACTAAGTACGTGTTATTGGACACATTCTTAGAACATATTATGTTAATGTAGTAATTTATTTACTTATTAGTCAATAGGCTAGATTGTAAATTTAATAAAGTATTGTATACTTTATTAGGGAAAAAAAATACAATTCTGTGCATGTATGACCACGACGATGATAAAAAACGGACGTAGGAACTATGTCATGTAACTCCTCACACTCTCTAATGTGAATCTTGTAAAACACTGAGAACTTGTATAATTTCCTGGACAGAAGAAGAGCAGACTGAAAAGGTTGGTTGAAGTCAAATTTTTGTGAACGATATGTCTTTTGGTAAATTTCCCCATTTTCACCCGCCAAATATAACAGTAGTACAGCCACAGTCGTACTTTTTTTATTTATATATTTCACATATAATAACAGTAACAAACTTACAAAAAAATCGGAAAACTGCAGAACAGTTTGTTGGCGAAAGAGGCGCTCTTACTTAACGTCTACATATGTTATTATATAACTACATATAACACCTATGTACATATGTATGTATCGCTTAGTTTTAGGTTTACACACACATACTTCCATACATTTTTAATACACTTTTAATATATATTTTTTTTACATCCTTTTTATAGGTACATAGTACAAAGGCATCGGTCTTTATTGTTATGCAAGCATTCGTATGTATGTGCCGTTATATTTATGTTTAATATCTTTTGCTTGGTGTAATTGCTGTAGGGTGAACATATTTTCATAGATTTTGTTTTTAAGTGATTTATGATAATGCCATTACCGTGTGCCCATTTAATAATAATATTTTCAAAATCTGTTTGTAAGTAAGTCTGGTCAACGTTCGAATCTTTACACGAATATAGCAAACACATATCGTCTGCATACATAAACACTTTACAGTACTTTATGACATTTATGACACAGTTCACATGCATTATGTACCCGACCGGACCGAATACGGATCCAGTCGGTACTCCAAGTGTGACACTTACCTCATCACCAGTTGTTCCATCGATTGTGGTGAAGAGATACCTATTTTCTAAATAACATTTAAACCAGCGGTTGACCGGGCCCCTAATACCACACTCTTGCATGGCCTGCAGCAGTACATCATGCTCTTATTTCTTTCTTTACAGTCATTATATTATGTACTCTTATCATATCTAATCTAAGTGCTTCATTATTATTTATTTTATTATTATATTTTTCTACTGTGTAAGCATCTACTTTATTAAAATAAAAGGATACATTACTTGGTGTTACATATGAACTTCTATCCAAAAAACAAATTATCACAGTTATGTTTTATTTTTATATTTGTATAGTGTTAGAAAATTTATCACAAATATTTAATGTAGTATCCGTTTTACCTAAGTATTTTATCATTACATCGTCAAGTCTCGTTTTCTGTTTACCTGTCCACATGTTTACAATTGACCAAATTTTCCTAAAATCATTGTGGCATTCCTCTATTTGATTTCGTCTTTATTTATTTTTAGCAATATTGGCTAATTTATTGACTTTATTTTTGTATCGCGTATATAATAATCTATTATTCATATTACTAGGTGCCGATTTCCAAATTCTGAATAGAGAATCCTTATACTCTATTTTTTTTCTAAGTACACTATTAACCCAGGGTTGCGTGACTCCTTTTCCTTTAGATATTATAAGCATTTTAATTTTTTCAAAAATACTAGCAAAAATATTTTTTTTCATACAACAACAGAGGAAAACTTATTTCTAATAATTCCGCCCAATTAATTTCTTTTAAACTAACACTTATCATCTTTTCTTTTAAAACAGTTTTGTATACCTTTTGCCTTGAATACCATAAATCGCAAGATTTAAGATACCTACTCACAACATAAGGCAATCGGTTGTTTAAAATATGTATAAAGATCCATTCTGAAAGTTGAAGGCAAGGTGAACAGACTCCTCTGGGGGACAAAAGACTGGTTTTTGGGGACTATACATTTTACAAGATTTACAAATTACACTATGACTACCATAATATCTTAAAGTTTACTGGTTTTAAGACAAATCATTTTACACAGAATATCTTGTTAGCTTTAGGATCGTATTCATGAAAATAATCCAACCTTTTACATAGCTCATCCATAGGTTTTAGATCATCATCATTTCAAAATCATCTTATCCTAAAAAAGGTTCAAATAAATACACACGTTTTATATAATAATAATATTTATGAAGTTAATAATACTTATATATATAACATTTTATTATATTCACTGTACACTTCATGTGGAACTAATATATATGTTACAATGTCTGTTTATAAAAACTGAATATAAAAAATGTAATTTCATATAGTTTTATTGTTTTCTAGTTTGATTTCTTTGATTTCTTCTCTTTGCTCTTCTTGGACGGATAAATCACGAATAGGGAGAGCTGGATTGAACACAGCACTAGGGCAACCGTGTTTTGAAGCTGAAATATTAATAATAAAATTAACAAAGTATTTTAAACATTAAAACTATTTCTTCCTCGCGACTTCATTCATGTCAACTAGCCTCGGTTTCTGTCAGTTAATGTGTTCTAAGTATAAATTCTGTTTCAGAATTCCAGGTCTTAAGGCTTAAAAAAAACGAAACTACTACGCTGAAACTACTAATTTTTTAATATAATTTACAGACGTATGTTATTCTGATATGTGAAAACGGTTATTACATAATTTGAAAACATTATGTACCGATTGTTAGAAAGTTCTAACAAAAATTCACCAATAAATTCAAAGTTAAATTTAATCTTACATCTACTCTGTATAGTATTAGATCAGATTTTGATGCAAATAAGCCATTATGTAACCAAGGCTACCTTATTGATTCTCAAACAGTTAAATAATTACAACCCATTAAATAAATAACCTCTTTTAAAGATACAATAATTTTTTATTAACATTTTATTTCAATCACAGATTCATAGCGTGTATTTTGTTATATAAATCTTTCTTGAACTCTCAGTTTATATAGGAATCAGATAAAATAATATTGAATTAAAATACAATGACATCTCGTGACGAGAGAAGTGTCTTATCATACACTAGCTGTGCCCCGTATTCTTCTGCTTAGAATAAGATTTTTTTTACTGTTATATCATAATACCAAACTAAAAAAATTACAACATTCTACCTATTACTTCACCTATCTCACAGCGAAACTTCCATCAAAATCGGTCTTACAATTTCATTTTACAGTTTAAACGTACTTGAATTTGTTTAGTTATGAATAATAAGTAATTTATTCAAATTACATTTACGTGATTTCTTTGAAGAAGTTGGCATCGTTATCTTTAAAATTTCATATGGTTTCTATATTTATAATAATGGCTTAAGATGTGTTGTTTCATTATTTAATATTTATTTATTACTTTATCATAATAATCTTGATTGTCATTCAAATAACCGACCTCAAAGGTTGTGTATATTTAGAATGTATAGAGGTCATTGACCCCAGTCAGGTCACGATGGCTTAGTCGGTAAAGTGACTGGCATGCAACAACCCGATTGTAGCAGCTTCAATTTTTTTTTAACAATATTAATGTCAAGTTTTGTTACATAATATATATACATTACAATTTTAATTCCACTGTCTTCATATGAGTTGTTTACATATGATAAATAAATTATTGTTATTTTATATTAAAACGCAACATTTATATTCTCAACGAATCAAAGAGTTATGTCACCATGACAACAAATAAATAAATAAACGTCGATTGATCATTAAACCTTATGGTAAATTGATTCTTACATTGTTATTATTAAAACTGAAGTCGGCTGAATACGGCTAAAGTCGTATAAAGTCGGTGAAATTCGGTCAAAGTCGGCTATTGTCGGTTAAAGTCGGTTAAAGTCGGATGGTATACTTACCACTAGGAACTTATTCTTCAGTATGATACCATACAGCAGCCACATGAAGGTGACGATGGTACCCGAGAATATAATTGGGAAGGGCATACCCGCTGTACTCTTGGTCTTAATAATGTGTTTCTGAAATTATCAATTTTAATAACATTATATAATTATTTGCATACAGACAAATATGTTAATTTCATTCAAGATAAGCGTGTTATTTGAATTTTCGGTTATACATTTTGTATAAAATATATGAATATATACAAAAATTCTGTATAAATGGGTCTTATTTAAAATTTTCTTATTGCGACTACCCATATTCCAGAGGCTTGCTAGTATAGTTATATGTAACTATGGAAATTCAAATTTCTTAATGAGATCTAAGACTTTCGATTATTTATTTAAATGAAAAAAATATTTTTAGATTATACTACGTGTATTTTATTATTATAAAACTACATACTCCCGACGTTTCGGTTACTTTTCAGCAACCGTGATCACGGTTTCTACAATAATAAAATACTCGTAAATAAATACGAAAATTATTAGTTTAATTTAAATTTCTCGTCATGAAAGTAGATCGTTCGGCATCATTATGATAATATTGAAAAATTAGAGTATACAAATACACTTCAAGGGTAAACTTCAGTTATCAGACACTAATTAAATTAATGTGAGTATTCTTTGTCTTTTATCAGTCAATAACTTTGTTCAACTTTATGTATTTTTTATATAAAATAACACATTTAACAAAGTTTATGCAAGAAACAAACAAAAGCGTTTTGTAGAAAATATGGTAAAAATAAAGTTAAATTTTAAATATTCAATAGAGAAATTTTATAATATGTAACAAACTTTCTTAGATAAAATAAGTAAATATGATTTAAATTCGTTTATTTGTTTGATTCCATGTTTATTTTGTTGAGTTCACTTTACGTTATATAATTAATCAACCAAAAACAATGTTTTTAATATTTATAATAAATATAATAATTGTGAATTATAAATGACAAAAAATTGTCTGTGAACGGGAAAAAATGACAGAATTTTATGTAATATTCGCAAAAACCTTATTTGAAAGCGAAATTAGTATTAATAATATTAATGATTACACAATGTTTTTTCTTTTAGCATCAATATACGACTTTAAATTTGTTCGTCATCACTTATAAATAAAATAAATTGTTTCAATTTAAAGTTAAATATATCGTTTAACGAAAATTTAAATAAAAAATTAATATTTTTTAATATATCATTGAAATGTATCACTATGTAAATTAATTAATTCTTACAACTTTAATATACAGATATTAAATGCTATCATAATTATGATCGTCACATTTTTCCACAGCCTTCAAACGTTACTTCGAAGAATTTAAATTATAATAAGTTTGTTCTCACCAAAAAAAGTATGAAAATAGTATTTTTTCATTCAAATTATTATCTGTATCTATTAATAGATGACTTTGACATTTAGTGACCAGATGTGCAGTCATTAAAACAAAGAGGTTTCTTGCCTAATTCATATTTTGGTAATAATTTTAAATATCTTTTTAAAATATAACTTGCTCTCTTATATTTATATACTGTTTTTTTCTGTGAGAAATATAACATTCTTAAAAAAAGAAGAACGAAAAACTTTAAATATATTTACATCAAATTTAGTTTGTTTAATAAGAATAGAAAAAAAAGAATAATAAAAATTATAGTCCCTGTGAAGTATTAAATGTCTTAGCAAAACTTATTTTATTTATAACTAAAAAGCAAACATTTTTGAAAATCAAGTTTCTTAATAAATTCCAAAAAGGTCACCCCGATTTGGGTTTTTGGACCCATTTACATTTGAATTCAAAAAAATAATTTTACTTTGGAATTCTACCTGCTCTGAACGATCTCAAAATACGAAATGTCAATTTCTCAAAATTAGAAGTGCTTTGAAAATATATTGAAAACAGTCTTGCTGATATAACGTATGTTACTAATAATTTGAATGTGAAAACTTACTAAATAAGTATATATAATAAAGCTTCACTTAGTTTAGGTACACCAAAAAACATGGCCACGCAATTTAATAAAAAATTCAAAGCTATTACCTTCACACAGTAATTTGTGTTTACGTACGCATATGGACTGAAGTTAATTGGTATAGTATAGGGAGTTAATTAGTGATAAAATTGGACTATAATGCAATACATGTGTTAATGAAACTTACCAGTCCCAATAATGGGGAGGATATCAAATAGAACATGAAGATAGTGATGATAGTGCCAAATCTGTTCTCAATAAGTGCCGGGTCCTCCATCTCACTGTATGCGATGAGGCCAGCGGACACCGCGCCTCCCACACCCATGCTGAACCACGCCTGTCCCTTCTCCGTGGAATAGTGGAAGAATATCATGAGGTAGATGATGTTCAGCATCAGACCGAAGAAGTTCACTTTGATCATCATGTCATCGCGGAGGATGAAGCCGAATTTTATGTTTAAGATACTCCTACGGAAAAAATGTCTATATTAATATCACATATACCAGGTCTATCAAACGTATCCCTTCTAATGTTATAAATGCGAAAGTAACTCTCTCTGTCTGTCTGTTACGCTTTCAAGCCTAAACCACTGAACTGATTTTAATGAAATTTAGCACAGAGATAGAATTTACCTTAAAAATGAACATAGGATTGTTTTTATCCCAGAGTTTTGAAAAGTTCTCTTGGAAACGCGATATAACCGAACTCCGAGCGGACGAAGCTGCGGGCGGAAAGCTAGTAATATATATATGTTTGTAGATCTCTTGGTTGAAGAGAAAGAAAAGAGAAAAAGAATTGGTGTATCCCCACTCTTTTCCTCAATCAATTATTTTTAGAGTTATTGGTATACCTACATATATGAAATTGATAGCCAAGCAGTGCTTGTGAGTCGTGACCTTGAAATCCAAGTAATTATGCTCTATCTTTGTCTGTTTCATAGTGCTTTTGTATCAGTGTGTATAATTGTTATGTGTAGACTTGAATTTTATAAAATAATTACGCCTTTAACGATGTACGATAAAACATACATAAAGAGTCCATTCCTTAGAATTTATATCTGTCTCTAATTTCTTTCAAATCTCCACCGTTTTCTATAATAATTCATATCATACAAGATAATTTCATTTTAACCAAAAGAGTCTTCACTATACATTAGTCAGTATCCGAATTCTTTAGTGGCATATCGTTACTATCACTCCTCAGGTTTGACCTTGATTGTCAGATAAAGAATATGATAAAAATATTTAATCCATCTATGATAAGAGACAGTAGTGCTCAGATACACTACATTAGTCATTCGGCAGATAATGATCTTGTGCAAAGTCAAGGTCTTAAATATTGGGTTCTAACTTGCCATGAAATCGGAAACGTTTATAATTTATGTATGTAATAACAAGACGATCTTTTGAAATGTTTTACAAGAAAATCTCAGTTTTAGCATATATATACATACATTTGTGTGTGTGTGTTTTTAAACGAAAGGCTGTCTTAAATTGTAAGAGAGATGATTTCAACAGCAGTATGATTAGATATTACAAATTTGCATCGTCACACCGCATACATACAATACAAACGTTATGTATAAGTGCTATAATATTTAGTGAAAAATTTGTTAAACTTCCATATTTTATGTCACGATGGGAACTAGTGATAAGCATAGTGAAACTTTGACAACGAATCCAATTTCTTAGAGAGAATCATAGATAAGGCATGATGTATCAGTGAACCAAAATATAATCGCATGATGAACCCGCCAATAAAAATTATACTCACATAATGAAACCGCCAATAAATAGTATACTCATATAATGAACCCGCCAAAAAATAATATACTCACATAATAAACCCGCCAATAAATAATATACTCACATAATGAACCCGCCAATAAACGCCATGATACTGGTTCCCTTGGTGTTCCCTTGCTTATAGATGTCGTAACAGATGAAGCTGCCAGAGAACATCTGGCCAGTGGTCACGATGCCGGCCACCGTGCCCACCAGCTCCTTGTAGGGCTGCAGGATGTCTGATAAAACTTCCATGATGCTGGGGACGTAAAAATACTAATTAGGATCATTCAAGTAATTCAGAATATCTGAAATGGTAACACTAGAAACAGTTTGCGATAGATAGATAAAATTGGCATAAAATCAGCATTCAATGAATTCAACTTGCGGGTGCCGGATCCATCGTTGTAGTGAGAGGAGCTTCAACAGTGCCTGAGACTTGCGACCCAGGTGTAGGTTTAAGAGGCCCCTATCTAACGCCGTCCAAGCTCCTTTCTCTACCTAACCAAATTTAAAACCTAATAAGGCTGCCTTAGACGCACGTTCCAAAAAGGACTGATGTAAGTCGTAAGAGTTTCAAATGAAATTTTATAATAAAATAAACGTGTTATAAAAACAATAAAGCCGGTTGGCCTAAATTGTCTTGAAACTGTGTATAATATAAGTAATTTAATGCCATCTACGAGGCCAATCGATCGTGATCTAAACGAGATATTAAAACAAATTTAATTAACATTGATAACTAAAACAATAGACAATTAATAGGACTATTAGGTGGTTAACTAGAAATATTATAAAAAGTTACAAAGTTTAACTAAATGGGTTATTATTGCTAGGTTACAAACTGTAATGTTAATATGTAATTTACAAGAAACAACAATATTTAGAACCGTATTTCTGTTATGACAATATACCTATTAATCGACTACAAATAACAATAATTATTAACGAATAAATGGAGTCTTCCATATATCTAATTATAATCTAAAATCGGTAAAGGAACCCTAACATAGCAATTTTTATACTAAATTCGTATGATTTAAGCTAAAATTGCTCATACTATTGAGAAAAAACACAAAATGTATAGTTTTTAATCATATCTAGCAACGCTTGGTGGTGTTATTTTTCATTTACTATTTTATTTCAAGAAGAAAACAAGCTCTTATTTGTTTTTATTTTTTCATAGGACTTGGCTGAATATATAGAATTACTTACATTTTTGAAGTCGGCTATGATTATAAAAAGTTTCAGATTTTTACTAGATTCAATGTTATATTACATAGTATCTATATTAGAGTGGGGCTTTTATGTTACGTCTATAATATTTAGCGTAGAAACAATACAGAGTTAAATATGCATAAACGAAGACGAGGATACATCGAGCGATTAAACGGTCGACAAACCCATACAAGTTACGATCTATTGGAAAGTAATGACAACTTGTAAATTAAAAATCTTCTCTTTTTTTAATATGGGCTTCATCATATATACAGCCAGTGTCGAAATCATTTCTTATCTTAAATTACTTTTTAATAACTTCTCATTTTGACATTTTGAATAATGACATATTTACTTTTTAATTTAAACATTAAAATAAACAGCAACGATCGAAACCAATTCTGCCAATGTGTACCAATCAACAAACCATTAAAGACAGAGTGTGGGTTACTTGGGTTACTAACAATCACATCCTCGCATTAATGATCTCAATTGTTAGATGATTCGGACGTCACACAACACACCCACTGTTACGTTATAACGATCGTGAACAGACAGCTCTATTTATAGTCATTAAAGTTTGATCTTTACTTTGGAATTATATAAAGTCCTTTGCCTTTTTTTTAATGTTTTAGTGAATAATGCTTAAAACAGAATCACAAAAGTTTTAAAGTAAAAAAAAATTAAAGACTTTCGGAAATTGTTGTGAACTATTTTAATATGACCATATCTTATCATTTTGTAATAAATTAGAAAATGTGTTTAAGTGCTAACAAATGTTTAATTATATTACTTAGCACTTGCTCAAATTACTACTTTTCAAGTAATTTTATTCGATTTGAATTTCTTTTTACCATACATGTATTGTATTATGGTTACAATGAAGATTCTAGACTAGAGCAATGATATTAAGTAGCAATATGGGAACCCGAGACATACAAAAGCGCGGCAGATTAATGTACCGAGGTGTCACAGTGTTTTAAAACCTCCACCTAGTTTAAAACCTCCACAAAATATAAGTCCCATATCAAAGGCCGCTCGTCAAGGCTATTCATTATATTAAAAAGGTTTAATTGCTTTGTCTCTGACGCTATTATTGAAATAAATCTTTAATTTAATATCATTCCTAGCATTTTCTGTATATAGAAACTAACGCTATCGAATATTTAATCATTTTCCGCCGCTAATTTCAAATCATTACTTTCGTAAATTCTAAACCACTATGACGTCATATGACCTCTACAAACTTCCAAGGTTATAATATATATGTACTAATAACTAATTAGAATAACCTGGGTTAACCTGTTAATATGATTTTTTATTCTTATCACGAAACTGACTCATTGTAATATAATCGTGATATCAGATATCGATAATCATAAGCCGTTTTATTGCATTAAAATAGTTAAATAGTTTACCGATACGAAAATATTATAACGGGCAACACCTTCAATTCACTTTTTTTAAAATTTGAGTTGTTAGAAAGAGAAAGTGGTATATTTTATAGGAGACAAGTGACGATCTTTTTTCTTACGATCTCAGAATCCTTAGTATCAGTTTACATCGTCAAACTTTGAACGAGCAGCTTAATTCTTCATAAATATTCACAAATTATTATTTATGTACCGCATAGTAATGAATACCGGTTCTTACAAATACTAGATACGTCATTTTTCATTCATATTTTCAAGTTGTTTCCTCAACAATTTAACTTATATGTATCTTAAGGAAAAGTTCTTAAAAATACATTTAATTTTAAACCAATAATGAAAATTCAACAATATTAAGAGGTGAGGTTGTAAATAAAAAATGCGTCTTGAAAGAAATCAAAAACTATTTTTGGAGAAACTCGCTTGAAAGGTCAAAACAGACCACCAAAAGATTTAAGAATATATTATTTCCATAAGCGAAAATAATAATTTGCATGTATATGGATACTTAAAAAAATACTAACAATTGTGACGACTAATATTACGATGTACAATAACAAGACAGAATTTTAATTGAAATAAAATACAGATGAGAATACTTGGAACCGACACTAAAAACAAAAAATTTAAAAATAAATTGATAGCAAATTTATTGCAGAATAAGGATAAAATTGTCTTGTAAGTATTTAGAACTCTGTATTCGGCTAGAACATTAACATGTACCACGTGTACTAGCAATTCAATAGATTCATATCTCTTGAGTATATACTATGTATATAATAATAATTTATAGTATATATGTACATGCAATTATTTATCTCATAACCTATTCTTATATTATCTGTAAAGTGATAACAAATAAAATATCAATTGTTCTTAATATTAAATAAATAAACAAATATTGTATTTAAAACGATATAACAGTAATTATGTTAAAAGTTAAAACAACTTGCATGTATTACAACATAATATATTTTCTTACCTTTATGTTATTTCTTGTTTAAATTTACTATAAAATATTGAGCAACGTTTAACCTCTATAGTTAAAATTATAATTGCATTTTAATAAAGTAAAAAAATATTAAAACTTTTTCAATGTAACATTACGATACATCTACGTTGTTCACGGCACGAATGCTAACTACTTACTGAATAGTGAATACTGAGTTGCAATACAACTTTTAATAATACCCAGTCCCTAATAGGTATCTAATGTTGTAAACTGTCACTAGAAGATAAAAAAAATATAGGAAGGCACCGTGCTTTTGACAATGACGTGGCACTGTCTTTTACAAAAATAAAATGTCCTCTTTGTTTTCAATATTTCTTTTATAAATACCTTAATAGTTAGTTTTACATCTCTCAAAAATAATGGTGAATAATAATCTCTCAAAAGTAATACGATATAAATTTGTATCATAAACAGTGTCAAATTTTTTAAAGACCTCTTATTTATTATTGTTTTTTGTTTGTTAGGTGGATAATTATCGAGTATTTACTTATTACAAATTTAAGTCTAATTTAAAAATATTTACAAAAAAAAAAAATTAACCAAATCTACTCAAGCTGCAGTTATTACTTAAGCATGCAAGCAAGTCTATTAAATTGATTAATGAAACGTATTTCTTTTATTAATCTGACATACATTATGTATTAATACAATTGTTTTGGTGAAAAGCAATAATACTTTATTGTATTAAAAGATGTTGATGGAAAATGTGCGCATTATCTGTACCAGGTTGTCTTTTGTTGACAAATGTCAATAGCAGTTTTCAGTTTCCACTTTTCCCAAGATTTCGACGATTTTTCAACCATCTCGTTCTATTTTAGGACGAATGAGTGATAAGAAATTCTTAAAATTATTCGTTAATTTTCATCAGTAAGTAATGTGTTTTATAGAAACGTTGTCAGCATGAAAATTGTTCTATGAATAGTGCGAACGATTAATCGCGGGGTTTAGTCGTAAGAGCTTAATAATATGAGATGGAAATACAAAAGCTCGAAGGGGCGATGGCTGTTAGTGCTGTTGATGTTGATAGTGGTCCCAGCGGTTGTGGCCCAGAAGATCGGTGACCCTTATAAAATACTCGGCATCAATCAACGAGCGACTCTACCCGAAATCCGCAAGGCTTATAGACAATTAGCTAAAGAATGGTTGGTATATATGGCACGTTTAAGGTTTCTATTGATTTATGTTTTATGATATATAGGTCACTAGTGTTTAACTAGTTTAAATGAGAGATCAAACTATCTTGAAGCAGCATAATGACTATCTTGTCACGAAATCGATTTTATCAGGAATATTAAATATAAACCTGCTTACATTGTTAGTAAATCATTTTCTTACCTCAGTTAGAGTAAGAAAACTTTATGTAGGCCTTAGTTTTCTTACTCCTCTTAAATTTATTTATTTATAAGAGATGTGATCTGATAAACTATATGAATGAGCAAAAATGTTCTCATACATTAAATATTTCAAATTCCACCACAGTCATTGAGTCAGTGATGTGATGCATCGAGGCTCATTTCCAAATATGAATCATCCTAATTAATAAAAATAACTAAATATATATGATATAGTTATTTTATTCAATTTGTAGCTTTCATCTTGACAGTTTTTCCGAGTAACTAACTGGATTCAGAACACAGATATTTCTTAAATTTCACACAATTTTGAGCTCACTGCTATTGTTAAATCAAGTCTCAATTGATTGTAGATCCAGTTTAGTGTTATATTAAAGACAATTAATTTTATTAATTTTTTGATATTTTATAATTCACATGTACTTAATGGTAGTTTTAAAGTTACAAATGATTATTAAAAATCAAAACATGTTAACAATCGGCACAAGAAAAGGAATATACAATGAAATCCTATAAGAATTTCCAATAACTATATTCTCTGTAAACAGCTTAGTATATTTACATTATTTTCAGTATCTTTTGACATTTATAAGAATATTTTTATATTATACATTCTATTCAACAGTTCATTCCTATTTTCCACGATATCCTGAAATTTTTATGTATAACCCTAAAAATATATTTATTCAGGCATCCAGATAAGAATGAGAACCCAAATGCTGAAGCCAGGTTTGTAGAGATCAAGCAAGCATATGAACTGCTATCGGACACTGAAAGGCGACAGGCATATGACTTGTACGGAATCACCAACGAAGATGACCACATGTACAAGCAGAGGCACGATTACAGTCAATATGCAAGATTTAGGTACTAAACAAAACAATTATAATGAAAACATTACAGTGGACCCCCGGTAATCCGGCCTCTGTCTAATCCGGCACCCTTGTAATCCGACATGATCTGTTATTTATTATTGACTACATATTTTGTATTCACTAATGCATGATTGAACAAGTTAGAACTTGTACGCACCATCACTACACATTGTGTTCAATGCGTAGGGTATTGTTTTGATTCTGATTGCTTAGTTGGAATTTGAATTTATACTTCAGAGTGCATATGTAAATAATCTTATCATTGAATCTGTGATTTGTCGGATTACAAGGTACTCTTTTGTAAAAAAATCCGGACTATAGGGGTCTTAGGCAGTAGGTACTCTATAATCCGACGAATTCGATAGTTCAACACTGCCCTGCAAAATGTTTATCAGACTACCGGGGGTCCACTGTATATGTTTGATACAATATTCTTAATTTATATGCAAATGAAATTGTCTTGTGGCAATGACGAGGATTACAGTATGTATCCTTAAGACTCATTGATAAACAAACAATATTAGAAGTGAGTTTGAAGATATAAAATTGATTTTAGAGTTTTGTTTAACTCTATTATCATTACAACTAATTGTAATTTATAATTGTTACTGACTGCTTAGTATTTATAAAAATCTTTATATATAAAATGAAGTCATGTTTGTTACATTATTTATGACTCAAGAAATGATTGTATGGGTTTGGCTGGAAATTGGTAGAGAGATAACTTAAAACAAGCGAAAGAACATAAGATAACTTTTCATTCAATTAAAAAAGAAAAAATATATATATTGATCAAATGCAAAATCTTCTAATATCTACTATCTTTAACTAGGAATAGAGTTTGCCTGGTCAGCTATAGTTTTCTACTTCTGAAAATATTTCAGAAGAAGTCACGGGCAAAAACTAGGAAATAGCTATTTGTCTATGACTAATAAACTCAAACATACATAAAATTATAATATTACTTGTCTTAAATGCCAACTATGTAACGCTATAGAAGTCTTGTATTGAGAAAAGTACATGAACAATATTTTAATTTCAGCAATGACCCATTTGAGTTCTTCAGTACACATTTCCGAGCACAGGATCAAGATATAACATTATTCCACAAACTCTCTGTAACGACAAGGTATTTATTACAAAATAAATTTTAATTCTCATTATTATATGTCTTCTTCTTCTACCTGGCAATTTACCAGCTTTAGCCAGGGTCTGCCTTACATGTTGTGAATAGTTTTGAGCTTTGGCTTATTGTTTTTACGACCGGCCGCCTGCCTGACATCAACCCTCTTTGGGAATGCATTAATCAGTGATGTCTAAATACTCTTAGAAAGTTCATATGACAAGGAAAAATCACATTGGTACTTGCCTGGGCCAGGATCATGCATGAGAGGCGGGCCTTTTAACCACCAAGCCACCACTGACTTGATCATTATTATATGAATTTACAATAAAAAAATCTTGTTTTAGGCATTTCGAAAATAACATATTGGAGAAATCAATACATACTCCGGCTTTAGTCCTGTTTTACACCGATTGGTGTTTCGACTGTGTGAGATCGGCTTCATCTTGGAGGAAGTTAGTCGATTCTTTGCAGCCTTTAGGAGTGACCCTGGCTACTATACACGCGGGACATGAAGCTAGTCTGGCTAGAAGAATAGGAGTCCACAGTGTACCCTGCCTTACATTAATATTGGATAAGCAGATATACATTTACAAGGATGGGCTGAATTCATTACCAAAGATATTAGGTTAGTTACATACAAGTATTTAAAATATTACTATAATATTTTTCTTCTTCCTTCTATAATGGTCGGGTAGGAACGGTGTGAGATTTAATAAGATTTTTATCCCAATACACACTTTTTTAAATCACATATTTTGTATTGTGCTTTCCTAAAACCGATTGCTTACAGTCAAAATGATAATGATATATAAAATGGAACTATGTCAAATCATGAAGCTATTAAATTTGTTAGTCTTCTAATTTTTCCTCCCTTTTTGGAGAATAGATATCATTGATTGAACAGTAGACTCCACTCAATTACTTATGTTCAAAACATATATTACTTTTTTCTTATACATAAGGGAAGTAAATACTAATTATATACATATATGTATATCTATTTATGTATGAATTACAGAATTTATGCGCTGGAAGTTCCCCTACAAGCTGGTCCGTGGTATAAACGATGGGAATGTTGATTCATTTGTGAGCGACTTCGAGGACAACAAAGTCAAAGCCTTAATATTCGAGGAGCGACAAACAATCAGGCTGAGATACTTGATCACAGCATTCCACTACAGGGATAGATTGTCGTTTGCGTAAGGAAATTTATTATAATTGATTAGTATCTTACAATTTTTAAACATAAATTTCATTCATTCATTGAGGGGAAAATGACTGAGCTAATACCAGTGAATGAATGAATGAATTAGTTAATTTAACTTTAATGTTTGAATTGAGACTGTAAAAGGATTATACTATTTTCTGCATCTTTACATGCATGCATCTAAATTGGGTGGCATGAAAGATAACAAAATATTGTTGACAATATGTCTACCTACTATTTTAATTATGCCCCAATAAAAACAAAGACAGGTCTATCAAACATTTTTTTTTAAACTAGCTTATATCAATTAATTTATCGTTCTGTATTCTCTTTTTCAATTTAAATAGTATAATGCCATTTGAGATGTATAACAAAAATATAAACCTATTAATTATATTTTTAATCTGTAATATTTGCATGCTGTAATTACCTGTAAGTAAAAGAACAATTGAAATGTATTACTAAAATTACTACTGTACACGGATTATTGTATCTTTTGTTGGTAGTTCTAAATAAATAAATACACACTTTATTTTCCAGTTTCGTGGACATATCAGCTCGTGATACTGTTAATGTTACATCAAGGTATAAAGTACAGCGATCTATGGACACTATGGTGTTGTTGAAGGAAGATAGTGTGGAGCCCGCGGCTACGGTCAGCACAACAGAAATACAGACACAGACCATGAGGCAGTTGATAGAGGCTAATCAGATGTTGACGCTACCTAGACTATCTTCACAGGTGATGTATTGGAAATGAAACTAATATTTTCGTAACTTTAAATATAACCAATATTTTGAAAATTACTACGCTTACGAGTACTTTATTATTTATATAACTGTGACCACGGTCGCTGAAAAGTAGCCGAAACGTCGAGAGTATGTAGTTTATAATCAAAAAGAAATACGCGAAGTAAAATCCGAAAATATTAGTTTTATTTAAATGAGTTCTCGCGAAAATCTTAGATCTCATGATGTATTGGAAACTTTGTACAGAACATTTTTTTTTTGATGATTTCTGCTTCATGGCAATCTATTATCCAAGAATAAGCCACGTTTTTGTGTGATTTCTTAGTTTTTGTGTTCACCAAGAGCTATATTCGTGTAATTTTTTTCACAAGACTCTTATTGTCAAGTGAATCTTAATATAGGTGTGTTCTGAAAAGCAGAAATTTTAATATCACAACCAGATTTCGGACAGAGCAGCTCTGTGATATGATTTCTTCAAATTTAAGAAATACTCATAAGAAGTCTTTCGCCCATTCATTTGGAACATTCACGACAATTCTACTACTATTGTTAACTTTAAATATCTCATCAGCGTTATTATTGAAGTATTATAATATTTAGGTACATATTTAATTTATTAGGTAACACAATTTGTGTTTTGTGGGAGACTTTAAACATTGGGGGGATATGCGTGTTAAATAACTCTTTAATTGAGTCAGTCACGTTATAATGATATTTATATATTCAGGAGATTAGGAGTTCAATTTCTGTTTGGATTAAATCACTGAAGTGCTTCCTTCTTGATATATGGTGACCTTAAATTCTTCCTTCTCGAACGGTCTAGACACATGACCCTATAGAAGTGACTCACTGACTTTTTCTCTTTGCAGAATATTCTAGAAGTATCTAGATCCTGTAGTCCTTACAGAAAAGTAATTGCTGATATTCTTTCTTCTTGTAGAATGTTCTAGACACTGTATGTCCCGTGGAGTGGCGTGCTGCGCGTCGCGTGCTCTGCTGCGTGCTGATCGTGCGAGATGAGAGAGAAGTTCGTTCTAACGCGCACAGTATTCAACAGTTACGTGACCTGGCCAGACGAGCTCCCGATCGTATCAGATACACATACGTGTATGAACACGCGCAGCCCGACTTCGTTAATGCCCTTGCCAATGGTTCTGGTGAGTATTGTAATCTTTTTTGCTGTTTTGACACGATTTGGTCCATTTTAGTACTTTCGATCTTCATTATTTTTTATTTGTCCCGATTTGGTCCATTTTAGCATATCTTCCAATCTATACATGCTTATTGTGATGAATGCAATATTTTTATCACAGGTTTTTGGTATAAAAGTTGATACGCCTATTTGGCAATAAAAATCCTAATAAGCTCCAATACTTTTCAGTACAACCGTTTTCGCACATGTTTCTAGGAAAAATCTACATATTTAAACGGTTCTATACCAATTTTGTAGCTTTTATGCTAATTTCCGCATGTTATATCTGATATCTCGTCTCCCAGGTATAGATTTATCGAGTCTGGATCATCGTATAGTGGTTATATGGCGTCGGGAGTCATCTAGGATACAGTATGAGTGGTTGAAAGAGTCCTGGCCTAGCTGTGGACGTTGTCAAGGCGAAGAGGGGGTTCGATACCAGGAAAAGATGAATCGCACGCAGCGGGCGCTCGACGAAATGCTCAAGAGATTACTGAGGCCTAGCGAAGTGGTCGCATATGAAGCTAGGATTCAGGTAATATACTAATGTTTTTTATTTTTATTTTTTGCACAAAAAGAATGTAACGGAAATAAGAATAATGAATTGATGCCTGGTTAAATGTAGAATAGAGATCGGAAAAATGACTTGGAACACTTTGCGCATTGATGTGACAAATATTTAAACTCTTACGAAAATGTGAGAATTCATTGGACAGTAAAACAATGTTGAATATAAGTAAATGTTATAATCTATTTTAATGCGCAATATATTGTCAATCTGTGTGTGAACAGTAGCATCATAGTTTTGTCGGTTGAAGGTTGATTAAATATATACAGGGTGACTGGTGAATTACTATCGATATTTGAGGACGTGATATTTGACGATCATATATGACAAAATAAAAATTAATATAACATAAATATTAATAAACTACTAAGTAAAGTTAACCAAAAGTTATGTAATTAATTACGCATCGTGTGAGCACCCTACAGACTAGGTATACACTCACACTCACACATACACGTGTCGTGACGTAGTGTTGTATCAGCACGCCGCCGCACGCGTCCACACTTTAACACTTGGAACGTGTCAACACTTTATTTATTTATACGGAAATTTTGTCAAAAATTAAGTGCCTATTTTTTTTACATAATTCGAATGAGAACCATGTACCGAGTATTCTCCTTAAATATTGATAGTAATTCTCCAGTCACCCTGTATAGGTCATTGAAAAAGGGTTTTATTTCATCTAAGTATTTTAACAATGACAATGTCTGTATATTTACTAGCAAAACAGAGGTTTTTTAGGATAGCTAAATATTTCTAACGATTAATATTGAACCCATTTTTTTTTTATAATTTTGTTAAGATTGTCACTAAATAACTGTTAAGACAAATCATTTTCGAATATTCTTATACACACTCGTCTAATATCAATTCGCGTAATAAGTTTGATTAAATAGTAGTTCCTTTTTCTTGATAGAAATATACATGACACAAGAGATAAAATATATTTATGTATACTAATATTTCCACCTGTATTTTATTTCCAGGAGTTAGTGGATGAGTCGTCGCCATGTGGTGCTCGACTAGTTATGGCGCGCGTCTCTGAATGGATAGAACGCGCGATGTCCGCTCTCAAATCACACCACGCACTATCAGCGCTATCAGTACTAGCCACTGTGGCATTAGTACTCGCTGCTGGCTACTTCATGGCGTATCTCATGTATGGAAACTTTATATTCTTTATATATATAATTCTTCTGTGAGTGTGTATGTCACTGAACTTCTCTCAAACGACTGGACCGGTTTTGAAATTTTTTGTGTGTGTTCAAGGGGATCTGGGAATTGTTTAGATTCACAATTTTGTCCGCTGGACAATATTTTTTTAATAAATTTTTTATTTATTAGTAGTTGTTGATACAAACGTTTTTTTTTGACATTAGATTTGACAACTAGCTAATATGTCAATCATTCTGTCGCACTTCAAAACACGGAGATTTATGGCTTTAATAGGTAAACTCCAAACATATAAATAAAAAAACGTAACAGATATTTTTTGATTATAGGGTGATACGAAGTTCGCCGGGTCTTCTAGTTTACTATATAATATTTATTAACCGAAATATTCATGAACTTATATTGTATGTACAGACGAGTGGAAGAAGAATCTGTTCAACGCGAAAAGGAAGAGAGAAGGAGACAAAACGGCGGCAAACGGAACAACAATGAGGCGCAACCGGAAATGAGGTTACACGAGCTACGAGCTGAGAAATATAACGGATTGGTCAGGTACATAATGATATATCTACTATCTACTAACTGATCTACTATCTAACTATCCTAAAAGAAATTGCAAGATGACAAAGTAATAATTATTATATGTAGATGGTACCAGATAATAATATTAATAAATAGCTTTATTTGTAAGCTACATCCTCTATTAGCACAAAATCCCTACATTATCGTTCCAGGTTACAGAAGCCAGGTTGCAGGACTATAGTGCTGTTAGTAGATTCACAGAGTCGAGTTCAACTGCTGTCTAAGTTCCACAAGATCGTGTGGCCGTATCGAAAGTGAGTATATTTGGTTAGTTTATAGACATTTGGTAAAACAAAACCTCATTTTTGTAATAATATTAAAGGTTTTTTGTTATAACAGTCACCAAACTTGTAGATTTACCTTCTGTTTGTGTTCAATGGACGATTTGCATTTATTTTATTTGGTAGTGAAACTGTTTTTTGTAATCTGTACGGCTCAATAAGGGTCAGTATTAAAAGCTCCACTAAGTTGGAACTCTAGTTTGAATCGAATAATATCCAAACTAGATTGGCTAGTTACATAATGGAAAAATTTATCCGAATTTCATCTCTCAACATCTCATTCCATCTCCAAGTAATATCAAATTCTGATCCATCCCTCATTCCAGGAACAAAACTCCTAATCATTCCTAGTAATAGCAAGTTCTGATCCATCCCTCATTCCAGGAACAAAACTCCGAATCATTCCTAGGAATTTCAAGTTCTGATCCACTCCTCATTCCTGGAAAGAAACTCCGAATCATTCTCAGGAGTGGCTAGTTCTGATTCATTCCTCATTCCAGGAACAAAACCCTGGTATTCGCGTACCTGTGCGTGGAGAGGAACGTGGAATGGTTCCGTCGCGTGCTTCAACTGTCTCTGGGAGGCGGCGGGGAACTTCGCGTTAACAGAAGGAACTGTGTGGGCACTGTGCTAGCTTTGAACCCACACAGAAAGTACTTCTGCATCTACCACGCCAAACATCCGGAGTGCGTCAAACCGCATAAGGTAAAAAAATGATAATCTTATATATCTTCGGGAATAGTGCAAATCCGCGTAACTACCATTGGGAGCAGATTATTATCAGAAGAAAGTTTAAGCTGAAATATTTTGTAAATTAACGACTTTTATGGTATTTTTTCACAAATAGTAATTTAGTGTTTAATTTATTACTAATGCAATGTGAAAAAATTAATATGTAAAAGAAAATTGTGTTAGTTTCGCTATTTATAACCCAAGAACGGCGGTAGGGATATTGTTGAAAATTGGTGGAGATATAGCTAAAGAATAGGGTATTTAATTTGGTAAGATCGTAAAGTAAGAAAATCCAATATCTGGTTATTTATGGCCTCTAGAGGGGAAATTAAAGCGATGAAATCACGGGCAGAAATTAGTTATAAATGGTTTGATATCTGAATTTTCTTTCTATAGTTATTTTTTGGTGACTTTTCTCCGTTGAAGTATATTCCTGCTTCAGGGTTTTTGATACATTTTTTCTTTAATTTCGTTTCACCTGTAAAAGTTTAGGTATTCTATTACTGTAGTTTTTGGACCACAAACTTGTATACAATGTCGATATGATATACGACAGTTAATGAAAACATGTTTAATGTTATTGATTAAGAGTGTTTGAGATTAGAAAATCAATTACGTGGAAATAAAAGATTACATGATCAAATAAACTTTTCCAAGCAAAATAAATAGATGTAACTAGGACATTATTTGTAAATATAGCGTGTGATAAAGCGAAACTAGTTCGAGTCATCGAATATTCTGTTCACATCGTCGATTAATACTATTATAAAATAAATTACACTCAGTTTTTCGGATACTACTTATATATGTGAAAAGGAGGACTGAATAAGTATTACTGTATAAAAAAAAACATCCGAATTTGAATCTTAAAGTCCCAAACAGTTGTAGGAATAAAATCACAAGAAACAAAAAAATAGAAACAATAATTTTCACCTTTATAGACCTGTTATTATCATTGTACCATAGAAATAAGTTACATCATGTCTTATACAATTATCACTGTATGTCTCATCATCAGCGTATGAGTCGTATGGCAGCCTCCTTGGGCGGGCGAGCTCCGGACCCTGAGGCTGGAGCATTCATCGGCTTCACCACCGACCCTGACTCATCAGATGACGACTGTTACGACCCACCCTTGTTACTACAAGGTAAGGACTTGACTCAGTGCCGGCGTTAGACGGACTGACACCCTGGGCAAGAATATTTTGGCGCCCACTTGAAGAAATCAAAATCGAGTATTGTTTTTTTTCTGAACCAATGTGAACACTGAACGTGTATTAAGAATACTATATTCCATCTTTCCTTTAGCGTGACCCAGAGCTAACGTCGTGGACGTAGAAAGTTATGTAGCTCCTATTTTTTTTTTATTTTTTCATTTATAAGTATCCTACCTCCACTAATCGCCCCCCCAAATTTGGCGCCCTGGGCCGTCGCCCCATCGTGCCCCCCCCCCCCCTAACGCCGGCACTGACTTGGCTGACAAAAATATTGAGTAAAAAATCTCTTTATTCATGATATTCAGTGAATCTGTTGGTTCTCTTAAAAATAAACTTAAAACAAAATCACATTATTTTATGTAATAATCAAATGATTAACTAGTCAGTAATTACACAAGAACTATTCTTGTTAACTAAGCAAATATGTTTTTTTTAAAGCATGCTAGGTTTACATGCAAAAGACTGAAAATTAATGACAATCAGTTTAGCTTAGATTTTATTTTGTATGCACTAGTTGTAAGTCAGTTTTGTAAACTTTAATAAAAAAAATATATATATATATACCCGGCAGGGTCGCGAGGCAAGCTTTTGGTATACCGTGGCCCTGCCTAGGTGGCGTGGATGAGGAACACCCAGGCTTTTTAGTGGGTCGAAACCCCACATAACCCGGTCAAGTCCCCCCGCTCGGCCGGGTATCTGTGAACAGATTTCCCCTGGGAAAACAAAAAAAAAAAAAAATATATATATATATATATATATATATATATATATATATATATATATATATATATAATTTCTATATCGTTTAATTCGCAGAAAATCTTCTCGATGGACTAGAAAATTGGCTGGACAGACTCTTCGAAGGTAGCACCCACCGCTACTACGTGAACTACTGGCCGGATATGACGACTAAGTGATTGGATACACAGAGATAAATAACATTTGGTTCAAACTCTTTCGTTTCGCAGATATATCATACGCGACGTCGCGTTATATCGGCTCTAGCAGCCTTTTCTATGTAATCGAATACTGCCCTATAATAAGTTAATCCACCACACGTATGTGAGTGAAATTATATGCTTGATATAAAACAGTTCTGAAAGTTTATTTCCAAATATATTGCGAGTTTAATATAAAAAAAATCTATAATATTTAATATAAAATGTATGGGACGATCGTTTCGAATGTGAAGAACTGAATGCACTGTAGGATAGATATACACAAATTGTAGCTTACTCATAGAAGCGAGGGTAGGTACAATTAATGACTTATGACGTCATACGTGCGTACTCTAGTGTATATTTACAAATCACATTTTTATATTAAAAATTAGGCTCCACACACACGGCTAGAATAACAACAGTATTACACCGCACCATAGCTAATAATGACAATAAGAATAGTTGTAATGAGACCATAGATAATCAAATTAGCTTTTTTTCTTGTTAATGGCGCCAACGGTGGATACTGGCAGTGTTTTAAGGTTGTATTGTTTTATATTTAATCGGAATGTTCTTACTATAGAAGTTTTTATTCTTGAAATCACAAGTTCTAGAAAGCTAGATATAATAAATTGAATATCTTTTTAAATCGTCATATATTTGTTGTACTATGACTCCGCAGTTATAGGCGAATTATCAGTGCTTGAATTTGTATAGAAATTTATTTATAATTTATCGATTCTTAGGCAATTTTAATTATTGTTACTGCGAATAATTTTAAAAGTTTTACACTGATTTTTTTTTTAAGTTCCTATCATATCAGTAACATTTCAATAGCATACCTTATAATGAAATATTGTGGAATTTAATGTTTAAATTCATGTTTATTTATAATAATTACTACTATTAAACATTTTGTATATATATTTTGTTATCTAGTCAATGTGTTACCAAATGTTACAATACAATTAGTGTTTAGTATATTTGTTTGTTAATGTTATATCCTAAGCTGCCGAGGTTATTTAATATACTATATATAAATAAAAGAAATCAATCGGAGAAATTATAACATCAAAATCATGCAAATAGTATGAAAATAGATAAAATTTAAATTATCTGTAAATATTTTTAATCTATATAGTGTTGCAATATTTAAATGCTTGGGATTTATATCTATTGTGTTACCATAATAAAAAAATATCGAGTGTCATTCAGTACAAAATATTATAGATTATAATATCCACCTAATGAATATCTTGCCTTTTATGTGTAGAAAATTTATTAAATATTTACTTGTGGTATATTATACTGTTTCTGTGTTAAAATTATTAAGTTTTATTGGAACAAAATATTAATTTATATTGTATTGTATAGATGTTTTTGATGATGATGTAATTGTAGTATTATTTCTCTTTAAGTAGTTTCTTTTAAAGATTTTGCTATACTATATAATTGTGAATCAAAAGTATTCGTAATCGGAGTGTAGTTATCTAAAAGGGTCCATATGAATTTATAATTTTCTCACAATAAATCTGTTTGTTCAATTTTAAAGTAATTTATATTGTGTAATTGTTAATTATTCTTGTTGTATGTATGTTTATTCTTGTCTATATAAAGGGAGGTTTTCTATTAAGATACAACTAATCCAAATTCATATTATAATTCCAGTTGTAATTTGTACAATAAAATATCATCTTTGATTATTAGTTTTATTTGAATGAAACACCTTTAATAAATAATAACTTGACACCAGAACAAAGTCTAAGTTTCATCTACTTGCAGTTGGTAAATGCAATGTTCTGTACTTGATCTCATTACTTGAATTCTTATCTGTAACAAAATATGCAGATTAAGTTTATTTTCTATGGTTTTATGTTTTAAACACAAAATACATAGAATTTGATTTGTATTAAGAAAAATAATAAGACACTAAGAGACAGCTAACAAAAGTCAAAATTCAAAACTAATAATATAATAAATTTACAAAGTCATTTTTCAAGAAATTATTTCAGTACAAAAATAAATACCTGTTATTGCGGAAACCTAAGTTCTATGCAGTATTTTTCTTTTTTGGATTTATTTCATTTTCACAATTTGCATATGCAATTCCTATTCCCATGCCCATACCAGCAATGATAGGCCACTTTCGTCTACCGAGGAATAGAACTGACGACAGAGCTCCGAGAACTACACCACTACCTAAAACACAAGCAATTAACTTCCGTTAAACGAATATTAACAATATTAAGGTTAGACAAGGTAATATCTTACCAGTTTTTATAATTCCATCAGTGAGACACATGTCCAGTTTTGTTGAGTACTCATCAACATCCTTCGTGTCTTTAGCCATTTTATTTGTCATTGTAACAAGATTATGAAATTGAATAAACTATATTCTTGTAAACAAGGTAATATTGACCGAGAGCCGATATTCGCACCCTTTACATAATTCTTTACCTCTGAAAAAATAAGTGTCAAAATTAACATTTAATACACACACTTTTGACAACTGTCAGATGGTTTAACTGCTGTCATTAATTTTTACAAAACGTAAAATGCAAGGGTTGTAAGTATACAGCCACGGTATATTTAGGTATTTTTATATATTAAAACATAAATTCATATTTATAAAACACAAATGAATGAAATTAAGATAGCAAGTAATTCTGTAATATTATATAGAATATTTATATAACTGTTTAAAATATTTATACCTTATGGTTTTGAAGTGACATTATTGACAATTGACATTTTCTATTAACGATTTAAAAGTATTACGAGATACAACAACATTATTCGAAAAACAATATTCTTTCATTGAAGAATGTTCGGTTAAATTAATTTTGTTAACTATGCAATCGAATCGTATCGTTACGAGAAGTGCTCGTAGCCTAATTTTGGCAAGGTTTAATACAACAACACCAAATGCGAATTCTGTACAAGCTCCAAAACCTCAAAATATATCAAGTGACATGATAGGACCACCGGACCCTGTGTCGAACCTTAGGAGAATTATATTTAAAAAAACAAACGAAGAAACAAAACTAGAAAAAAAATATAGAAAATTAAGGGCTGAAGTTCAAGAATGGAATCAAAATTTTTGGACGCAGCACAATACGAGATTTTTTAAAGTAATTACGTAATATTTTATATTAAAGTTAAATGTGAGAAATTTTAATGCGACATCTAATGTTCTGGTACTAATGATAAATTTTAATGATTACTAAAAATGATGAACATGTTATGAATATTCTCTTTCATAAGATTTATTATGTATTATTTTTAACAAATCTTATACTATAATTTTCTTTTTATCTTTTGATAATTGTATGTATTCTAATTTTAATATCACCGAAAATTGAGATCATGTATCCCAACATTTTCTTGAATGCTTCTGATTTATAGAAAACTGATTATTTAATCAAAATACCCCTATATTGCAATGATTATCATTTTTCCTGTTAGTTGTATGTTTTAATTTCTTAAAATATGACTTTTATTTCAGGAGCGAGAAGCATATTTAAAAAATAATTTACCTGAGGGTAAATCAAACCTTACAGCGGATGAGATGAGTGTGTTTTACAAGGCATTCCTTGATAAGAACTGGAGAACACATCTGTACTACAATAAGGAGTGGTACAAGAAGAATGTTACCTTACTAGCATTAGCCTTGCAAGTTAAGTTAAGAAGAATATTTAAAATAAAAGATTCCAAATAACATTTGTTTCCTTTAAACCCAAATAATTTTATCCAAAATTATTTTCATTGACTAAAAAACTATCTATCGCACAAAGCACCATTCTCAGTTTCTATTTTCTTTATGTCATATAGACCAGTGTTAGTTGATCTTTAATTACAATTTCTCACAAGCACTTGTATTAAATATTATAAAAACAATTGGATATTATTTCCAATAATCAGATATAGCCTATCAGAGCATTAGCACTAGAGATTGCTTTAAGGTGGCTAGGCCTCCTGCAATACCTGATTCAGTTTTGGCTTACTGTATAGCACTTATCTGGACCCTGAAGCGGTTGATGACTGTAGATCAGTGTTACTTTTGCAGATTTCGTTCGAGGCGGCGGTAATGTTTTAATGAGACTTTGATCGAAGTAGAATGTATAACTTGACTCAAAGTCGACACTGCGATTATGATCGTGACTTCGCCTCGCACAGTTTAAAGGACTAGTCATCCATGCCAATCCCGATATAGAGCGAATGGCAACGGTTAGGGAGCTTGCTTCCAGGAAACACCATTTCGACTCCAACAATACATTAACTGCAAAAACGTTATCATAGGGGCAATCGCTAAAACTAGGTTTTCGAATTTAGTTTCTCAAAAAATATTTTTTAAATTTAGCAACAAAATAAATAACATTTTACAAATTTTTGGCAAGACGGGTTCAGGACCCGCTGTCTTTTAGCATCTGATAAGGCAAAATCTATGCCTCACATTTTGAACTCAATATTATGATTGATAACATAATTATAAGGCTGTTACCAACATATATTAAAGATAAGGAAATGCGAGTTTTGAAGTTTGAACTTTACTTAGGTATAGTATGCTAGTATTTTGCTTGCTGAAACAACAAATATAAATATATACTTATAAAAAATACATATCATAAGAAAGAAAATTAAAAAAGTTTGCATTGCATTAGAGTCGAAATATACAGATTATTCTTATATTTTGACATTAATTGACGTTTATAAAAAAAACTGCTCTGAAAAACAAAATGTCTTACTGTGATATTCATTTTGAGATAATTAAGAGGTTTTGATTTAATATTTAAATTACTGGTCTGTACTTTAAAAAAAATTTTAGATGATCCTGAAACTAATTTTGGGTCACGGTATTTATAATAAATATGTACATTGCATTTAAATGGCTGATGGTCATGGCTTTAGCCATGTGGCTGTGTCTGTGTTTTGTGGACATTTACCAAAATAAAATAAATGATTTAATAAATATAGGTAAAATCCATCGCACGTACCCATTAAGTCTTATCTGAAAAATACATAAACTAATCTAAATATGATTTCCAGAATTCAAAGTCAAAAGTATTTCAGCGCCCATGTTTAAAAACTTAAGTGCAAAACAACAGCCATACAAAAGTAAAGAAACGCTCAATTTAAGAGTTCAAAATGGTGACAACAACTTGTTTCAATACGTGATGTTCGTGGCTGGTGCATGTATGGTGCTAATTTATAACAAAAAAAATCATATCATATTATATTCTGCGGAAACCGTGAGGAGAATGAATATAATTCTTGTAAAGAAAGTCATCGTAGTCACAAAGGAGTTAATACCTTTTGTTACTGGGATTTTGGTTACGGACGTCCAGAAGGGTTGGAAAATGATAACTAAAGTTTTTATAAATATAAAGGCACATGCTTCGAGTATATATGCCACGTTTAGACAAGAAAACTATAAACGAGTAAATATAGTTTTAGTCGAAAAATTAAAAGAATTAGGACAAGAACGGAAAAATCTAAGTCAACTTCTGATGGCTGCCATCCAAGAAAATAAAAGTATTAGAATGCGATGTCAGTTGGAAAATTTGGCAAAAAATAGACTGGCGCGTCACATCGAGAACACACAGAAGCAAATAAAAGAAAACAAAACTAGATATGTGAATTTCCAGCAATTATATTTAACAACACATCAAGAAAATATATTTCTCAAGAGCCGAATGAAAAATCTAACACGAGAGAAAGATGAGGCGGAAAGGAATCTGATTAAACTTGTGAATCAAGTTTGTCAGTCAAAGAACAATGACCTCAAAGCGTACTGCAGCCGTTTTATTGTTCGCACCAAAGACAATCTATTAAATTCTGATGTACGCTCTGAAATACAACAGTTTCTACAGAAACCGGGACAGTCCAGTGATAAAAATTCTGATGTTGCCATAAGCCACAAACTCACTGAGTGTCCGAGCAAGAAATTTGAATTAGCAGAAATATTTCAAAACGACGAAAATCTAATCGATTTAGTTGAAGACGCTCCGAAATTGCGAGGTTTACCGGGAGAGTGTGTTTGGACAGTTAAAGACAAAGAAGGAATGATCGAGAAACTTTATGAGTACGAAACTGAGTTTGATAACGGAGATACAATCAGAAGAATAAGACAATATTCCGTTTACCACGATAAGGACTGCTTGTTGGATTTCTCTAAGTATATATTTATAATACTCTCTATAAAACCATAAAACAAATTAATCAATTTCTTATTTTTATGTTTGTTTCAGTTCTACGACATTTTTTAGAAATTCCAACATCGATATTTCTACACTACGGAAGTCTTTTACAAATACGGATAGCAAAATAACGAGTCAAAAGTTCCTATCGGATTCGCCAGCATTTCAAAATTTCTTGCAAAATAACAAAAATATTGTACTGCGAAAACCATTGGCTTTCGCGCCTTCTTTAAAATGTTGATTTTATAAGCGTGTTTGATGTGAAAACGATTTTGTATGAATATATATATTTTATTTTTTTGAAAAGCTGTTTCCTTATTTATCTGAATGCTTCATATGTACCACCTATATTATGTTTAGAGCAAAATTCTAACGTAAGATTTTGTATGGAGTTAATTTAATTTGTCCTTTTCATTCCTCTCATTTTTATAGTCTTCTTAGTATACGTAACATTCAGAATAGAAAAGGTTATATTATGTTTAAAAAATATATTGCGTGAACAATCATGAATATCATGTTTAATAAAATTTTAAAACTATTTTGGGTTGTAAATTAAAATATACGGTTTTTTAAACCCTTGACAACGTTAGAATGCTGTATATAGAACCAATATTTTTATTTACTGATTTTTGTATAAAATTTCATAAGAGCAAAGAAATATAAATTATTTAATTTGATATAAAAAAGTCAGTCAGAAATAGTACATATATGGCAACATTAATTTGTTGTCACTTTTGAACTGATCAAATCAATAATTGCATTTGAAACCTTTTTTTTATAGCGAATTATCGAGGAATTGGTGTTACCTAGGAATCCAAAAATAACTTCGTATGTATTGAATTGTTCAACTGAACTGTGTTTCTGTGAACTGTTTAAATAAAAAAGTTTTTATATTTATAATACTAGACCACAGTCGCTAGTTGTTATGATTGTTTTCAGTTAAATAGTTTTGACATTAATTTGAATGTTGCTATATTGCTAAATAACTTTCTGTCCTAGAATGTTACCACCCTATGATGTCAGATAATTTAAAAAAAGTAGATCTTAGTTGTATCAGTTGGAAAGTTATTAAAAATGATGGATTGGATCTCGAGTATACTGTTCCGATACCAAGATCAATAGCTGACGGCATCTTGAAGGAGCTCGAAGAAACTTTAACCTTTTTTACAGGAGATCTAGCCAAGATTAAGTAAGTAAATAATAAATTAATCGATCGACATGCTATCGTAGTGGTGAAAATTAAAATTGTAGTGCCTCTCACGTTGAATTATTAAAATTCTTTAAATGATAGCAACCTATGAGTTATATTCTTACAAAATTACACTTACAATGTTTTGAAAACAATTGTTTCTATTAGGATTTCCGCACTTATGCCTGTTACCAAGTGAGACATTAGTGCGGGAAAAGGAAGGTAGGTCTACTCTCTACCATTGTAATGGATTAGTAATTATTATTTCGAGCTAAATATGAAATAATATTTATTATATTCATATTTTCTTCTAAGACAAAAAGGTCATCAACAGTTTGAAAAACAGAAATGATACGAAATTCTTAGCAATTTTTTAACCACCTTTATAATTGAATTTATTCTTGTTTATCCCAAAAGAACAGAAAAATATTATAATTACTTAAACCAATATGTTAATAAATATCGATTGTAAAATAATTATGTTCTGTTGATTGTAAAATATAACATTATGTGCTTCATAACAAACGTGTCCTTTTTCATCTCGCCGCTCACATACGGTGAATATCAAAATGTGACTAAATTTAATTTACAATTTTTTTTCAGAGTTTTCGGTAAAATTTATCCCCTGCCACGACAGCAAGTGGCCTATGGTGACCCTGGAATTACATACACCTACTCCGGCATAACGATACCAGCCTTACCGTGGCCCGAACCTGTATTAATGCTGCGAGATTTTTTGTTTACTTTGAAAGGCATAAAATACGAGTTTGTCTTAGTCAATAAGTGAGTTTCGCCATTATAGTTTCATTAAAATTTGTGTTTCTATCTCAAATTCAAACTATAATTTGTGTACCAGATATAGAAACGGGAATGATCACATGGGAGAGCATAGAGATAATGAACCGGACCTTGATCCCAAGTATCCCATAGCCTCAATATCGTTTGGAGAGGAGAGACCGTTTGTATTAAAGCACAAAGACGCAAGAAAACCGGGACCCCACAAAAAGAACATTTCGCCAGGTAAATTTATTTTAAATCCTCATATTTATTAATGGTCACAGAGTCATCTATGCTACGTAACTTGTAGAACATGTACCGCAACAGCCTCGCCTCGTACGTCACTGTTTGTTTCGCTTTATTGTGGGCATCTTCTTCTTGAAACGGTGTTTCTATAACGGTGCTGACACGTCTGCCGTAAGTCTCAGCGCCCTCCAAAAACTGCATGCAATCTTTTATAGTGTTGTCCTTGACGACAATCAGATGTTTGGAGAGATTCTCCAGAAACGATAGGAAACAGCGCTTGGCGTAAAACCATGTGTCAGTGCCCAGGCGCTTATTAAAAGGCTCCAGAGATTTTATGACTCTAGATATTCCGAATTCATAATTTCCTTTCGCACAGTACAAGGTTCCTATAACCAGGTTTACGATGCACAGATGGTAGAATTTTTTCTGTGGGTCTTCGAATATTTGCTGCTCCTCTTCTTTTTCAATTTTCCTCATGATGTCTTCAGCCTCCTCGTTTTGTGAGGTCATGATGTATGACACACATAAATTAGCCAGAACAACTGCACTGACGTCTAAGATGTTGTCGTACTGCTTCTTTACTATTGGCTCGTAGAAACTCGCCGCTTCTTTGTATTTATTCTCCTGCATGAATAAAACATGGGCTACGTTTAGGCGCCAAACGTCAGATTCGTTACAAAATTCCACGGATTTACGAAATATTTTCTCGACCTGGCCGTAGTTTTCCATATCCCAGTATATTTTGGCCTGAGCCATTACCACTGGGATATATCTTTCCAATGCCTCTTCGTACTCAATAACTGCTTTCTTAACCTGTTCGTTGTCACCTTGGGACCGGCTTTCTTGTACAATCTTCGTCAATTTCCTCAACTGCTCGGCATGTTTTGAAGCTATATCTTCATACTTCTGAAAAGCTTCTTCAGGAGATGTTTGGCTTGTTATAATAGCATCGAGAAAATCATAAAGGTATGGCGTTAGATACTTGTAAGTAAACTGGGCATTTTCAGCCAATATATCCGCTGCGAGATCATAGTATTCAAATTTACAATATAGAAGTAATAAATTGGCGAAAGTCTCATGAGGGAACGGGTCTTGTTGGAGTAAGAAATGAAGCTTTTCAAATCCATCGTTAGGTTTGATGTCTATTGATGTGAGAGCTATGTTATGAAGAGTCACAGCATCCAATTCGTGTTCATGTCTCGGAGGCATGTCTGACAACGCTTCTCTGGCTGCTTCCAAGTTCTTGAGTTGATATTCTATAGCAGCTTTTAAATTAAACACTTCGGTCAAAGCAGTTTCATGCAGTGTCAAAGTATTTCCGACGGATTTAACCTCCGAAGCCTCGGATTGCATTCCGACCCCCAATTCTGGGTGATCCCGGATACCTTTTTCAATAACTAGGGTGATGTGTTTCAAAGCTTGAGGATATTCCTTAAGTCTGAAGTAGCACAAAGCTACATTATAATGCAAGTGGGCATTAAATCCGAGAATATTCAGGCTTCTAGAAAACTTTTGTAATGCCTCCTCGTATTGATTTTCTTTGTACAACAAACATCCCAGATTGATATCTTTATCAGGATCATCTTGAGGATAAGATTCTACAAGGGTTCTGGCCGTCATGGTGTCTTCTTCGCCATATTTTATAGCAGATTGTAATTTCGTAACTTTTTTCTCAAGATCTGGACTTGTTACATGCATAGTAACCTTATATGCTTCGTCGAACATGGAAGCTTCATACAAAGATTGAGCGAAGTAAAGTTTATACTCGGGCACATCAGGATGCATAGCTGATAATTGTTCATAGCAATTAGCAGCTTCAACGAAAGACTGAGTTCTGTAGTAGCAATAACCAAGAAGGGATAATCCGGCTCTATTAGAGTTGAAATTAATAGCATCGTTGAGAGCTTTGATAGCCTCTTCATATCTGGACTCTTTTATCTGAAAAAAAATCGCGAGATGTTAAAAAAGTTGCCATTACAAAATTTACACTCTTAACTTTTTAATATATATAATCTACCTAAAATACGACAGGTTTAAATTCTGCATTCATGTCTTTCAAATAAAACATGTTATTCGTTGCACTAGTAAACAAAAATATTTACAAATGTCTATATATATGATTATTGTGCAACGTTAAAATATAAGGACGCCCTGATTCTTATCGTGCTAATGCAAACAAAATGCAATTTGAAAAGGGAGTGAGCAATTATCTTATTAGCATTAATGCAGATAAATAGATCTTGATTGAATTGTATGTAGTTTTCAAATATCCAGACTGCACAGTTTATATTATACGATCCATTTATTTTTTAATCTGTGCTAAATATTGAGTGAATTTAAATCAGAATTACTATTATTTACATTTAAAAAAAAATTGAAAATTAATTAATTCATAATGACATATTATTTACTAGGTATAATCGTTATTTTCTTAGTTTTGTAGTTCCCAATATTTGACCTTTCTTATAACACGTAGTTTTGATATCGCAACGACTATAACGACTTATCGGATATATAAGTTGATTGCAAATATTTCCGCATGGGTTCGGTGTAAGGGCTAGGTCAAGATAATCTGGCATTTAACAGATACTGCGATAACGATTATTTTTCGTTATAACCTTCAAAATAATCTATTTGGAACGTACTTTCTGTTATGATACGAAATTGTCTTAAAGCCTGGCTTGTATTTTGATAAAGAAGTATATTTGTACCTGAATAATTTTTTGCCTAATGTCTACTTTCTAAAACATGTAATTTCTTTAACATCGAATTGCCCATCTATGACAATTTCAATAATTTAGTATTGGTATTGTTTTCAAGATTATAAATTCAGTTTATATTTTTTGTACTTACCATAGTGTAAATAGTTTTTGTGTACTGGCCATCAGGTATTTGTAGATAATCCATTTTTACCTATAAATAATAATTATTGCAACCACTACGTTACAGTTATTTTGGCTAATTTCTATTGTTTGTTTCCTAGTCGTTATAGCAACGGTACAGATATTTCATTATAGGTATATTTCATTATACAGAAGACAAAAAAGTAAAAAATATTTACAGATTATCAGAATAACTGGTATAATTTGATTTGTATTTATAATATTTTATCGCAATTAATGAAGGAAAGAAATTAGTATACGATGATACATAAGATTTTGGCGTGTACTCATTCATATGAAAATAAGATTCTTTACATCATCGAAATGTCGAGATTGTATACTTACAGTAAGGCGTAATATTAAAACTTAGTTTTATTAATATATTGTATATTTAATTATTTCAGTGATCATAAAGTTAGAGCATGGTAGCGTTCTACTCATGAACCCACCGACAAACGACGTCTGGTATCATAGTCTGCCAACTCGTAAAAGGATAAAAGGTGCGAGAATAAATTTAACCTTTCGTAAAATGGTTCATAAAACATATTTTAGTAAATAATATTTTTGTAACATAGAGATTTTAATAAAAGGAGAGAAGTTTTCAATTGTTGTTTCATTTTTGATAATAATACTCGTCTGAACAGTTCGATTAAGGGACAATATTTTATATTTTTGCTTATCATAATTATTATTTCAAACCTTACCAATTTAATGTTTATAATGTGATTACGTATAAAAAATGTTTTTCAACGAGCATTTATTACATTGACACTTCCAAATGATCATATGTTTTGACAGTTCACACTGCCTGCTGTCATTTCTCTGTTTTAACAATTTATGAATCACAATCACATTAATGAAGTCTCAAAACAGATTAATTTCAATTTAATATATCAATCTGAATATATATTCCATTATCTATAAATATATTTATGTTTTTATTACTTTCACCGCAGTAAAACATTTAAAAGGTAGGTGATGACGTTTTTTCTGTGTTTTTGTATTTTACACGAACATTTCACTTATCGGTTGTTCAAGTTCGTTTACGATAAGGGAAGCCTATATAACGGAGAAATTCGTTGAACGGCCACCGTTATAACAACTATGGTTTTTAATTCATTTGTCCAATACATCCATCTTTTTTGTTTATTATGTCGAGGATGGGCTGAATTTCTTTTTGAATCTCACTACAGTCGTCTGTTTGAGTGTAGAGTCCTGAAATTTACCTAGTATAGACTTTGTTAATATTTGCTAGTCAGTTTCAATATTAAAATGTGGTATGGACCGAGGGTTCAAAGATCTTATAAGTATATGGTTTTTGCAAGCAAGATGCCGTCGCTGAGAATAGACCAGAGTGATCTGAAGTGTAAGAACGGATGCAACTTCTTTGGTAATCCCCAGTGGCAAGGGTATTGTTCAAAATGTCACAGAGAACAACTTCAGAGACAGCGATGGGCAGGTATGTAATAGACAAGGAAAGAAAAATACTTCATAGAAATATCAGAGTAATTTATTACAATATTATTATATTCATAAGACTTGAGTACTAAAATTATAAAACTGAATTTTATGAGATTAGTTATGAAAAAAAAAAACATACATGCAACCCTCAAAGTGACATTCCTCTTGAAAATTATTAAACAAAAAAAATATTTAAACTATTAAAATCAAGATTACAATGTACTTACTAACTTCTATTTTATTTCATCTACATTGTTATTTGTAATAATATTTTTGAATACATTATCCTGTAATTTAATCATTGTAATTTGAGTTGATAAATTATATTCAATGACATACATAGATCTGATAGTCATTGTGATTTTATCTGTGGTTTTAAATTAAAAAATGATCTTAATCATAGACTAGCTATTATTTTTTTAGAACCTTTTGTTTTAAGATTTACAGCTGAAATATTTAGTTTGCAATAAAATAAGCTGTTTTATAATAATAATTCATCCCAAATTGTTCTTAATATTTTTTGATTTCTTTGTCATTAATTCAGATACTTTTGGAGATGTTTAAACTTATTGAAGATCAGATGAATGAGTGATAGTAGAAAAACATTTATTCTATATAATTTACTTAGCTTTTTAATATGTTTTGGTGTAGATATACTACATATATAAAATAAAAAAGTTTCAAAACAATATGCACTTCATGAAAAACAAATATAAAAAAAATGACTGTATTTATTGCTAGTATTTATTATATTTTGTAGATCACAGATATATTTTTGAACAGTAATTTTATCTTATAATTTTAATGTTATAACATATAGATGTGTTAAATAGAGAAAGGCTTAACCGCGACCCTACCGAAGCCGGTGCAGAAGAAAATGGAGCGATCATTGAAATTGTCCTCACACTCGTCTTTCTCAAAGTTTGAAGAGAAACGTCTTAGGCAAAGTGAGACGCTCAAGAATAAGACAAACCTATTGAAATTCAGCGTTTTCAGCAAGAGTAAGAGCAGTGGTAAGTTATAAGATACCTTTGTAATATGTTACAAGACAAAGATTAATATTCTGTTAGGCATGTTAATCTAGTTTTGATTTTAAAAGCCATTAATATATTTAGAAATCCAAGATCAAACTCCGGAGAGGAAGCCACCGGAGTTTAAAGTCCCAGCGACCGTGTACGAGATGATGAAGAAGGATTGGGCTGAAAACTTTTCAAATCTGCCGGTTCAAGTTGATAGGGAGTGTAGAGTGTTTGTGCATCGCTTCATATGGGATGTGATTAATTCTTCTTACGTGATGAACGTGGATGAACTATCAGAAAGGGTCCAAAGATATTATCAGGTAATTTACTTAATTTAAAATTTATTTCGTCTATCTATCGCATGTCGCGTTACAGCCGACCACATCAGCTGATAATCTAGCATTTATATTCTAACTAGAGTAATTGCTCATCATGTTTACCTCATTAACCTTGATTTAAATAAATATTATGCTCAGTTTTTGACACGCGTCTATCATTTGATTTTAATTACATATATTAAACAGATTGTAATTACAATTAATAGTTAGATACCTTATCTATCATTGATTTTCTATTATCATTACCATTTTCCACGTGTAAAGTTAGGATTACAAATGCATTTCTATTCCATGGTACTAAATAATTTGCTGTACTTTTTTTCTTTAAATGCCTATAACCCAAAAAAGTTTCTTTGGTTTGAAAAGACGTCGTGTCCATATACGTCTCATTGTCAACTTGTCTTAATTACCTTTACATTTGACCTTAAGAATTTATTTTCATAATTAACTCGCTAAAAACAACGTTTTAAATACTTTATATAATTTATAAAATATTTATTTATTAACATTGCATTCAGAAAATATTACGAGAGGCATGAAACTTTATGAGGGATAAAATGTAGTAAAAAATATGGGCTTAGAACAGAAACTATTGTCATTTCTCACGAGGAAACATTTATTACATACATGAGATTAAATTACATAATAATAGTATTATTATTAATAACTAGCTGCGCCCCACGGTGTTACGGTGTTATTTCTGAGATTTCCGGGATGTAAAGTAGCCTATGTGTTATTCCTTGATATCAGCTTCCTGTATACAGAATTTTATCAAATCGGTTCAGCCGTTTGAGCGTGAAGAAGTAACAAACATACACACACACTCACAAACTTTCGCAATTATAATATTAGTAGGATATTAAATGTTTGCAATTACCGTTTCTATAGCAATTCATCAAGTATACGGACAACTCCCCCCACTTGGTGAGCGCGGAGCCCGAATTGAAGGAGAGGCTCATAGACTTCGTGGAGAAGCACGCCATGACCTACTTACACGAGTGAGTTGTTGATAAACGATTATACAACATATATTATATAGAATACTTCAAATGAACAACTCTTATACTTTTTAAATCCATTATGTTTGGATGGCCTATGCCACAAAATTGTTTATACAAAGAATATGGTGGCATGTCTGTTCGGATTTCCTATTCCTTAAAATTGTTTTATTCGTGAATTATAGTGGTTTATAATGCGGTGGTCTTTTGATATTTAATATAATACAGTAATTGGACTTTATCTTGCAAGTTCTAGATTTTACTATAGTTATATAAAAAAATATTATTGATAAAATGTTGGCATATTCTTATCGATTTTCCCCATCAAGACAATCTCAGATCTTGACCTTTCTAGATCAAGATAACAGGAAAACAATACGCCAAATTACTCATCAAAAACAATTAATGTAGAAAAAAATAGACTTAATTGTATGCTACTATAAGGTTAAATTTTGCAAGCTAGGGCTGTTATCAAACACATATTCTTTTCGTATGTAAGATATTTAGTGTTCTCGTACGTAAGGATGTAAAAAATCTGATATATCCATCATACATCCCTATTTCCAGTCTTCCAGGTGTAGTGTTCTCTCCTCACGGTACCGAGGACGAGCGCCTGGACCGCGCCATGTCAGAACGAATCCAGCAGTTGAGCTGGGTTGGGGAGAAACACCTGGAATGCAAGCTAGACCACTCCAATGAATGCAGCCAGCTCTTGTACAAAGCTATCAGCGGTTAGTACATACTAGGGACAGCGGAATCTGAGTTACTATAGAACATATTTCAGTTACTCACAGTGTATTGCATTTATATTAGAATGTTGTGATATTTCTGGATAAAATTATCCAAAGAACTATTTAATATGAAACTAATGATAAAATTAATCTCGTCTGCCTATGATCACGGTTGCTGAAAAGTAACCGAAACGTCGGGAGTATTTAGTTTTACAATAATAAAATACACGAATTAGTTACATTTAAATGAATAATCGCGATAGACTTAGATCTCATTAACTGTTCAATATATTAAGCGCGATGTTATACTTTTTGAAATATTTATATTTCTAGAACTGCTGGCTATGGATGGAGCTCCTTTTGGTGGTGGTAAGTTGGCTCATGTACGGCGAGCGTGTCTCCACGTGCTTGAACTCTGTGGGGCGCCTGCATCAGCTGACGATCTGCTGCCAAAACTTATATTCACTGTAAGTCAATGACCTTTAGTCCAACGATTGTAGCACCTCTTACATTATATTCCTTTAAAGTGCAACTTATTTCGTAGTCAAGAAATATTGCACAATTTTTGCACAAAAATTAAGAGTCGATAACGTCTTCCATGCTTTATTATATTATACGAAATATATAATATATATGCTCAGAAATGTTTAACTTTTATTCGAACGTGATACTTCATTATATTGTTTAACCCTGAAACAGTTATGTATTAGTGAGTGTAACCTTTTTTGGACATAGGAAAATCTTCTTGTCCACAACCCACAAGAACTATTGGATTATATTAGTAGCAAAATTGGCTCCCAAACCCATCCAAACCAATGTCTTCCTATATGGTTGTTTGTGTAACCTCGTGTTCATGTAGGTGTTAAAGGCGAACCCACCTCGTCTTGTGAGCAACATCAACTTCGTGACCCGCTTCTGTAACGCGCAGAGGTTAATGACCGGCGAGGCTGGCTACTACTTCACGAATTTGGTAACATGTTCACCTATATTACCAGATTTTTGTTTTATTTATTTATTCATTGCGCTTATATATGAGTTTTGTGCGTAAAAGACGAGGCGAAACTATTATTCGTATTTATGAAAAACTAGTCACAAATAACATAGTATTTACTCAAGATATTTTGTGTTTTCAATCCAAGTTCCAATAGACAATACAATTGATTAAATACTACGGTATTTTTCGAGTGGTACAGGTTCGATTCCAAGACGTGTCTATGAATTTTCTTTTTTATTTTCTACTTGAATTTTCTTATACTACTAGCTCAATACTGCTTCAATGTTAAAAACGTAATCTGAAATATAAATTCACTGTGATCAATCATAATACTTTCTTCTAGTGCTGCGCGGTATCCTTCATAGAGAACTTGACGGCGGAGTCTTTAAGTATGGATAAGAAGGAATTTGATTGCTACATGGCGATGCCTGCCTCCATTGGTGGTAGCACTTGGGTAAGAAATATGTCAAACATATTTTTTAGCCCTATACATCAATATCAAACATATTTTTCAGTCTAAAATAGTTTATGTAAAGTTAGTATTAGTAGATATTTTGTGGCTAAAGATGGACATTTGCTTGAAATACAAAACTATATTGAAACTCTAATTATACAGGCAGCAGCATTATCTTTGTGTGGAGCTGTGAAAGAAGCTGAGGAACAACGACAACACGCTGAGAAACTGATGGAGGAAATAAAAAAGTTACAAGATGACGCCGAACAACTCGCGAATAACGCTGAAACATTTGAGGTACGAATATTGAACTATAAAATGGCCATACGAGTATTTAGACATCACTGTCAGACGGTGAAGGTAAACATCGTGAGGAAACCTGGACTTATAATTTCACAATTATAAGTTTGAAATCACCAACCCGTCTTGAGCAAGCGTGGTGATTAATGCTTAAACCTTCTCAATGTGAAAAGATGCCTTTACTCAGAAGTGGGCTCTGATAGGCTGATGATGGAAGTGGCCATTAACAATAATTTAATTTTTTCTCTTGCAGAAAGAAATCGCTAAGAAGGTACAAGATGTGTTAGCGAAAACTCCGCTGGAAATAAAACCTCGTAGAGAGCTTCCCCGACTTCGGGTCCTACGCAATTCTACAGGACCACTCATCGACCTAGAAACATCGAAAACAGTTCCAGAAGAAGACAAACAGAAAATACCACAGATCAACATACCAGACAAACCGCAAGACAAAATAGATTTGCAATTCGAAACTTTGAATACTAGAACAGAAAACATTCTAAGTTTCGACATGGACAAATCACCTCCAAAATCCCCTCAGAACCAGCCGTGGGAATCAAAACAAACTGGATCCTTTGAACTCCTCACGCCATCACCGATCAGTTTCCCACTCTTCGACTCGAGGTCCATTGATGAGAGGATGGATGAATTGATGACGCCAGAGGAATTTGGTCCAGATAATCTCAGTCTTGGCTTGAGTAATATAAACTATGACATAGACTTATCCGATCTCAGCGGTGACAACAGTTACGCTGAAGACACGCCCAAGGAACCCAAAGACCCATTCAGTCCTGATGGAATAAAAAAGGAGCCGTTATTCGACCCGTTCGCTCCACAAACTAGTAATTACGCCATACTCGAGAAGTTTGATGAGTTTACATTAGTGGACACCAAAAATAAAGACGCTTCGGATTCGTTCGAAGTGGTTCATAGAACGAATGATTTTCAGACGAACGCAGAACGATCGGATCCATTCGGTCCTGTACAAGCTGAAGCGACTTCAATATTGGATGAAAATAATTCACCTTCAGGTGCCTGTCTGCTACCATCACCACTGTTGCCTCAGAGCAGCAAGAAAACTTGAATCAATATTTGTTCAGGATAAACATTAAATCTGTAATAACTTCAATTTAGATGTCATTTTTCTATGGTCTGCAGGCGGAACAAAAGAAATGTGTAAATAATTTCATTTTGATTTTATGGATATGACACTTTAGTAACGCGGTGGTATATATTGCTTTTATCTATTTTGTCATACTATTTATTTATAAATCATACGATAAAACAATGAGTGTGCTTAGAAACAGGTATAAAGTGGTATCTAAGAAAGCCAGGTTCACTTTGACCCTAAAATTTAAAATAATAAATATTGTATGATATTTCCCAAAACACAAAATATATAAAAAAAACAGTATAATGTCAACAAGTAATTAAAATGTTAATGGAATCGTTTTATTTTGGTCAATGGCGACTCGCGTCCTTCACACGATATGACAACATCACAACACTTAATATACAATAAAAATGGCGGCAAACTGTTTTATTTAATGAATTCTTTGAGTAATATAATAAATAAATAATAATGACAATTTAGAATTAATAGGGGTAGAAATTTATGTATGTAAATTATATTTTATTTGAATATTTGTATTATAGAAAATATCATAGTATTGTAGTATGTACTCAGTACTTGTAATGTTTTAGTAAGAGACTTATTAATTTAATGATTGTGAAGTTAGTTCGTTTAAATGTATCTTTTGTATTAGGTTAGTTAATAAGATATTGTACATATTGATAAAAAATTAAGCTAAGGTAAAGCAAGCATCTTAAATGAAAATATAATGCTAATGAATGAAATTCAATACATTAATTATTTGTTTGTGTATTAAACAAACCTAAATTACGTTATATTGATATATCTAAACAGGAACGCATTTTTTACTTTAGTTTTTCAAAATTCTTTTCCTTTATTTTCTTTCGAGTATTTGAATTGATCCAGGTGATACTTAACATATAAAGAAAGGATGTTAGGCGATTTTTAAACAATTAATATATTTTAATAAGATGAGATATTGGTAAAATAATATGTAATTATAGTACAAGCAAAGATATTAAATTCATCTGAAAGAAGAAATACTCAAGTAAGCTGTGAAAAAAACCATATACTAAATAAAAATTAAAACTTCATTTGTTACATTTACAAAATTTATTAAAAGCAGATTCTTTCATAAACTTTGCTTCACCTAAAATTTACAAAATATTAAATAATATAACTATACTAAGTAACTGATCCACGCCACGACTAAGTGAGAAACAAATTGAGAGTAAATAGTTTTAGTAACATGGATCTATAAATAAAATAACAACCAAACCTTTAACAGTATGTATGGTAATCATTCAAATTAAATTGGGCAATACACATTGTGCATACATCCCATATACATAACTGATTAATTTATAACAATTCAAATATTTTATTAAATGTCCGTGAAATAATACACAAAAAAAATGGCTAATTAATTCCAGTGAAATACAATGTCCGTTACACAACTTAGGAGAAATATATATTGCATGTCCTATGATTAATTTTAATAAATTTACACATGCAATACAACCTAATACTGAAAATAAATACATTTTATATGAGCCAAGTAAATGATAGGTTCGGTCGCTTCATGTTGAATTGATCAGTATTTGTATGCGACCACTGTTTGGCAAATTATATATATCTTTGAACCTTACCCACATGCATATATACAAACTATAATAGAAAATAATTGTTCATTGGAATATCATAATCACATGTCACAAGCTGGGATCAAAGACGGGAACTCTCCCGAACGATGAACTCCCTTCCCTCTACTTAAATCTAATTTTGAACACACAAACTGAGACAAAAGAAACAAGAAAAATTTTGCCATTACATAACATTAATTTGGTAATCAAACCCATGTAAATATTTTTGTATTATGAGAGCTATCTGCTTGTATTGCTAAATTCATTGTGTCATACAAAATATTTTTTATTTTATTATATATATAATTTAATAGTTATATCTATCTACATCTCGATTTCTGTTCTGGTATCCTTTCATTGGCTTGAAAACATTAAATAATACTTAACACTCAATGCTATAAGTTCTGTTTGGTAAACCATTGATATAACGGCAGTGTATATTAAGCAATAGATATTGTGACATTTATTCCGAGGTTGCCGTTGTCCGCAAACAGTTGTGCAAGGGAGGTGTCGAACACAAGACAATCAGAGTTCATGATGGCTGATGAAACACCCTCATGTATAGAACGCGGCATCGCCTCCCAGGTTAGCCTTCGCCTGTGACCATTCAGTTCAAGCCGATATGCAAAATTCTCGGCTTCCTTTCGTGAACCTATTAGTTGAACAATGGCAAAAAATTGCTGGTGGCCATCAAATTTTTCTTGCTTCTCTAGTACTAACATAAAATGGTGGTTGAAACAAGACTGCATCATCACCCAGTCAACAGCTCCGGGCAGGTTAATGTCGGTAGCCAGAAACACTATATCTTCACCTTGCAGTGTTGTAATGCTTTTGTGAGACATCATAAGGTGTGGCATAACCTGGTCAAGACCGCCTTGCCACTTGCATGAGGCTCCCGGACAGGGGCAGGAATAGGGCCTGAACTCACATGCTTCCTCATGTTCAGCTTTTTCAGTATGAACAAGGGTGACTGTGCAACCTGTGTTAGAATGCTTGCAAGGAAACATCACGTTACTAGCAACTTTTTCCATGGCCAGGTTGCGGATGTTGCCGAGGGGGCCGCGGCAGGTCGGGCAGCAGGACAATTTGGGGCGACAGCTCGAGCACACGAGGTGCCCGCTTTGGCATTGCAGGATAGGTGGCAGTACATAATCGAAACACACCGGGCATTCGAACAGCGACGCTAGGTCCGCAGACATCGCGGTCGACACGTTCACGAGCGCTGGCACCCCGGGGACGGTACAACTGGAACTGCTAGCTCCGCGCCTCTTGTTTGTGCTCATGTCACCTTCACGCGCACATAAAATGTGTCGATCAGCGATCAACCAAATTATAAGAGTGTCTTAAAAGTTGTATTACTAATCATTTGTAACCCTCCACTGTAGACTTTTTTCGTCTGCTTGTATCGTTGAAGTAAGATTCCATCACAGCTCCGGAGGCCAATGTTTTATTTTTTATCAGTTCAGTTTTAGTTATTTCATGCCACGATCTGTACTTAAATCCATACAGCTGAAATTGTGAACGTTATGAATTAACAAAAATTTTAAATCGCCATGAAAATCAATGTAGAATCACTATTGCCTATATTATTTAAGTTCACGATAACAGTGTAATATTGGACGTACCATTCAATTTCAATGACGACTTGTCCAATCGAAAATAAAGTGACAGATAAAAACCATGATGTCATATCATAGATAAAAGATTTGTTGGAGTATGCAAAAATTATATCTATAAGATTCCACAACAACACCGAAAGTTCATATTTTTTAATATTATCATCGCTTTAGTTCTAAAATCTATAAACCTGAAAATTCTGAAATGATGTCAATAAACAGAAAATTTTCTTTTACTAAAGGATAAAATAAATATCCGTGATTGTCAACGTTAATTCAGATTATAATAATAAAGTTCTGTCGTTTTTGAAATCCAATTACTCTAAAATTTTGTCTTGTATATTAATATAATAATGTCTAGTTATAGACAAAAAAGGTTGCCTCCAACGATATGCCGATAAATCTTCTAGCGTAGTCAATGGATGTAAACGAAAATATAACATTACAGAGAAGATGGAAAGCTTCAAACAACCTTTAAATGGCCCCAAGTATCTTCTTAAAAACGTTTGTTCTATACAAACACATATTTAAATAATTTTCTTTGCATAATAAATATAGAGGCAGGCCATCTAACGACAAAGTTTGTTACCAATTTATTCTTGTTTGTGTTTATCAGCGCCATCTGTTAGCGATACATATCAACAATGCAACATTGTCTTGACTTATTCATAATATGTAGTATGCATACAACTCAGTATGTATATACATAACATTATTTAGGTGGTTAACTGTGTATTTATATTATTAAATGTTTAAATATTTTTTTACTACTAAATGATATTTTTATGTTCGAATTAAACGCACTAAACTGATATTAATATTTCTATTCTAACTAATATTTCTATGAAATTATTACCAGAATGACAAAAAATACTCAAATCTATATTTTGTCATGAAAAACCATTAATTAAAACCTTGTTGTAATGCCATATATAACTATGTAACAATGATTTTTACATCATCAAATAACAAATATGACCCACCTTTCATCAAATTTTCCTTTCCTTAATTGTATACCAAAATAGAAAAAAAAGATTGATTTGTTTAAATGGTTTTTGTTCAAAAATATCTGTCTGTTAAGTTTAATTTAAAAAAAGAAACTTGCTATTTTTTAGGTGTATGTTTAAAAAAATATAGACAACATTCAAATGGCTATAGCTGTGTCGTTGATATAAAAATATTACAGATAATTGAAGTATCTTCTTCGAAATTGAAAACCCGACATATCGATAAATAAATCTTCTCGTTCCACTTATTGTTCCTTTTTTATATTATCTATTATCTATCTATCTATATATCTATCTATCTATATATACATATATATAAATAAATTGCTGTTCGTTCGTCTCGCTAAAACTCGAGACTGGCTGAACGGATTTATCTTATCTCAGTCTTGAAATGTTCGTGGAGGTTCAGGGAAGGTTTAAAAGCTGAAAAAAATTGATCCCGTTCCGAGAAAACCCTATAAACAGACCTTTTCTATTTCCAATACAAACGTTTTTTTTTACATTTTAGAATTGACAACTAACTAATATGTCAATCATTCTGTTCGATTGAAACAGGAAAAATTTAATAAATACCAATAGGTACCTGATTATTTAAGACGGAATAGAGTTCGCCCGGTCAGCTATACATACATATATTACTAATGACGAAATTAACGCGGACGAAGTCACGGGCAAAAACTAGTCGTATATATTAATAGAACTATTTGTAAATTAAATGCAGAATTATTATTTCTAAAATTTGAGTGATGTTTTAGCAGGATAATTGAAAATAAAAAAATCAAAAAATAATTAGTCTATGGTTTTGCAATCACGTGTAAAATAAGAAGTTAGTACATACACTAGTCTATATAGAATTTATTTAGGTAACAATACATTAGTTTTGCTTACAAAGCTGTTAGTTTTATCAACACTGTTATTTACATACTGAAGTTGTGGAGCGTGATTAGACGCACGCGAATACCGAGAAGATTCGTGCTCCGAAATATTATCTCCGAAGGAATTCTAATACAATGTTTAATTAACACTAATAGAGAGATGTGAAATTATTGTAATTGTATTGAGTAGGTTTTGAACTTATAACTTCAAATTATAAGTTTGAAATCAACCGGTCTTGAGCGAGCGTGGTGATTAATGCTCAAACCTTCTCCATGTGAGAAGAGGCCTTTGCTCAGCAATGGACTCTAATAGGCTGATGATGATGATGATGAATGTTTTGAAAATTAAATATTTTAATATAAATTGTAATATATCTTTGCATACTTAATTTTATTTATATCGCTCGCAGGACAGCTTTAAGGACTTCTGCAACACTTATATTTTGATTGAGGTTTTAATTGCTTTCATACAAACTGACGTACATATTATCCATTGTAGAGAATATTAGCCAAGTTTAATTACAGATAACTTATCCAACATAAAAGAAATTACAAAATCATCGCCCAGGCATTTACACCATTTTTTCTGCGACTCTTATTGCCCTCCCTTAGGTCTTAATCGTCCACAAGGGGGCGTTGTTATCCAGATTGGCTAAGGATGCTTTACAGCAACCGAGATCACGTGATCACGGACACATGAGATGAAAATGACGACAACGACGAAGTAATGACTACTTATATATACATATCTATAGGTAGGTTGAGATGATTAAAACTTAAATATATAGGTACATCTATTGGCTTACGAGATATGTAATTGTCATGATTTATTTATATGCTAAATTGTTTTTAGCTATAATCGAAAATATTTACATTGAATTTTCCTTTTTATTTCAAAAGTAGATCCACCATGTATCTGATGATGCTGCCATGCAGTAAGTCTATTATAACGTATAATAAAAATATATGTGGTTTTCATAAAGTCGAATAACTACAACATAAAATTACATCCATTGTTTACTGCAACATGAGAAAAGATATAATGAGAATTATCTACAAATTGTTCGTGAGAAATACTGATCTATTTATAATAGTACTGGAAAAAAAATATCTTGATAAGTTTGAAACGCTTTTATCTATTAATACATAAAAAATATCTCAATATTGGCAACAATAAAACGAGATGTCTTCAAAAAGATTGAGTATGCGTGTAAAAAGATACATATTTGACGAAAGAATGCGTTTAAAATAACATTTATCTAAATATATAATGTTATGAGTTCTTCCCACAGTTTTTATCTGTCGTCTTCTCGACGATATCTCAAAAACTGGGATGGTTGAGAGCAAGTGTTGCGAAATTGGATCATATTACTATAATCTGTATAAAAGTCTTTCACATGTCAAAGCTTGCGATAGATAAAATAAGATAAATTTTGTGAAATACCCCGTCGATGTACATACGATAAATAATTTCTTCGATAATAACTTTACATTTCACAAAGAGATATGAAGAAAGTAATTTTTATTTAATTTTAAAGAATATATAAATTTGTACCTTTTTTTTAATAATCTATATTGTTTTGCTGTAAATCGCATAATTCTTTGAAACGTCTTGCACATATAAAGTTCTAACGTAATTGTAAAAAGTTTCGAATTTTTCGTAAAGTATTCAATCCTTAAGCTTTTCGTTTTTAACCTATAATTTATATTATCTTTCCAACTTGAATCCCAAAGTAATTTCATTTTGTATATTGTATCATTTTTTTAATATTAAATTGAATATAAAGTAAAAAAAATAATTGGCAAACATACTGTTTGATGCGTTTAAGATAAACATTTTACAAAAGCGATATTTTTCAGTACACTTTACATTATTGTGAAAAATATTTAGGTTAATCAATGCTGTAATATTTCATTTATTTCCTTTGAATCTCCTTTAAAGACAGTAATACTTTCAAATATAATTCAAAGTATCTACAGTCTTAAAATTATTAACACGGCTTAAAATTTACTAACAATGGAATTAGTTATGTTTATACAATTATTTTACTGATTTTTTAAGTATGGCAACCGTTATGGCACGGCAATAATTTTTGTAGGACCATTAACATTTCATAAGAAATCTTATTAACGTTTGTTATATAATTCTTTAGCCATACAAGCCGTAGCTTTAATATTTTACCTATTCATCTGATTCCATTAATGCCGAGTTATGTTTTAACTTTGGCGTACAAAGAGTCAATGCGTGTATGAATATTTTTTTGCTATTTTGAGAATTTTTAAATCATGAAGAGGTACCTATTTTTAAAATTGAAATTTTAATTGCATGAAACTTTTATTTGTTTTACGTCTGAAAGAAATTCAATTTTTATTTTATTATCATTAGTTCTGTAACATTTTGTATGACTCTTCGTTCCTTTGTTTTTGTTTGTCACAGTTTAAAAGAAACCGACTATGTTCTTCTTAAATTTTAAACCATCAATGAAATATTCAGACTTCGTAAACAATATACATACTACAAATGACATCTCTTTAGGAAACATAATATAAAAATAAGATTTATCATCAGCCTATCCGAGTCCACTTCTGAGCAAAGTCCTTATCTCATATGGAGAAGGTTTGAGCATTAATCGCCACGCTTGCTCAAGGCTTCTTGGCGATTTCAAACTTATAATTAGAAATTATAAGTCCAGGTTTCCTCACGATGTTTTCCTTTACCATCTGTCAGTGGTGTCTGAATACTCTTAGAAAGTACATATAATTCGGAAAAATCACATTGGTACTTGCCAGGTTTCGAACCCGTGCCGCGCCCTCATACACGAGAGGCAGTCGTTTAACCACTAGGCCGCCACGACAAAATATTTCATTGGAAATTGATTAATTGATTAATTCAATTGTTTATTCAAATAAAAGATCATATATAGATAGATCAAGTCATTATCGTTGGAGGATGTGATTACAGGAGACAATAGCCTCATTGTCAGCTTCTTGTAATTTTCTACGCCTACTAT